AAGACAATATAGTCTTTTCAATGAAGAGTGCTTGAGCAATTGGACTGGCACAAACAAAAAGAACTTACCCATTCCTCATCCCCATACTAATAGGCTCTCAAAGTGGATCATAGATCCACATATAAATGCAACGCTAAAAATGCTTCTAGAAGAAAACAAGGGAATGTCAGCATGGACTTGGGTTACATGCACAATTCTTAGATACAAGACCAGGGCCTGATCCATATCATTTGTTAAAATTTATCAAATTTGAACTTCTCCTTTGTGGAGAATTCTGTTAAGAAAATGAAAAGACAAGCTATAGATCGTACAAAAAAATAGTTTTGGATCACATATCCCACAGATATCTTGCATACGGGGTGTCCGAACTCTCAAAATTCAACAAGAAAATAGTCCAATTTGAAAAAAAGTGGTTGAAATACTAAGCAGATATTTTAGCAAAAGTAGGTAATTAGGTAGAAAATGGTATATGAATGGGTATATGAATGTTGTTCATTACAATTACTATTGATATATGGTAGAAATTGCCTTCCTAGATAATTACTCAAAAGAAATTAAAACTGATGATCACCATAATACCTGCATGTGAATGCTCATAAATTTATGCATAATTGGCCCAAAATTGAAAACAAGGGACATGTCCTTCAGTCAGTAGCTAGATAAGCTCTCTGTGACACATCCACACAATACAACACTCTTAAGCAACAAAAAGGAAAGGCCTGTTGATTCTTCCCACAAGGAGGGGCATCTTGAATGAATTCTACTAAGTGAAAGAAGCCAGGCCCAGTAAACTCCAGTTGATGTTGTGTGAGTCCATCTTTTTGGCAATTTGGGGAATGTAAAATTACAGGAATGAAAAATGACATTGTCAGGGACTGAAAGGGGGGTCGATTACAAAGGTGCAGCTAGTGAAAATTTGGGAGATGATGAAACTTTGTGAAAAATATGGTAGCCGCACCACAATGTGTCTATGAAAATCCTAGAATTACATGCCACTAAGAATGAATGTTTATAAGCAAAAAGATAGAAGTAATTAAGGATTGAACATAGACTGTGACAAATGAATCCGACTATTACAAGTGTTTGACAACCTCTTGAAATGTAGAGAAGAGAAGAGAGGATTCAATTTTGTTCAAAAATGTTATGCTTATATGGCTGTAGAACTAAAGGTAAAAAACTGTACATACACATTTGTATGGGTTTGCAACTCTGATAGTACTTTATATTCTAGAATTAAATAAACATACACTAATTGTAGACAATAATATCCAGGTTTTTAACTGTTGAAGAAAGGGGGGGGTGTTTCATAATGAATCCTGTAGGGCTGCTGGGTTGCAGTTGGTGGAGTGGAAGAACAGTGTAACACAATTATTGGTATATTGCTATGCATTCATTTGCTTATAGTTAAGAGTTTTTTTTTATCATTATAATTATTACTTGTTTTCCTGTTTTGGGTGTGATTTTTCCTCAGAAGATATTCACCTGCTTTGTGCCAATTTATATCCCTTCTTAATGTTGGTACTAGATGAGTATGACATATTTAGAGCACATTGTCTATATTCACTGCTAACTGATCACTATCAACTTAAATTGCCTTTTCCAGATGAAGGTTAGAATTGTTTCCATTCTTAATACTCACTACAAAAGTGAATCACTTGGCTTTTATTAAAAGCCATGGGTGGCCAATATGCATCAATGGAAGCCCATTTAGGCTAGAATTACCCAGCTAACTAGAAACATGCAGCTTAAAATCATTACTTTGATCTTATCACATCTCAAATCAGATATGCAGATATCCATAGGGTGCTAGCAGGAAAAATGCTTTGAAAAATAAATTGTAAAATATTATTTTCTATATATTATTTGAAAATCCCTAGCGATCTTTGTTTGCTAGACTGATTTGGCAATAACATGCTAGAGAAAATCTATAGCAATGTTTGATGTTGTAGCATCTACAATGAAAAAGTAACGTGTACTCTTGTTTCTGGACGGATACAGGCCATATTTGGCTCCAGAGAAAACAGTATTCCAGATTCAGCTGTGATAGAATCCTGGCTTGTGAATTTCACATATCTCTCATGAGCATATCCTGTCATGAGAATCAGGAGAATCTCTTTTTGTTCTGTATACAGATATTATGCCATCTCAAAACGTTTAAGAATGTAGATTCTTTTGGAACTTAAACAAAAAAAAGGAAATTTCACTTTCAGCATAGCAATCATTTCTCATGTATAAAATATCCTCCCTCCCCAAATAGATAATCTTTCAGATATGTACTATATAGCCATGTACTTTAACTCTTTCCAGTGTCAGCATAGTAGTTATTTCAATAACTGGGAATTCCTGTTATTACTAATCCATCCTGTAATAACTTTTATAGGTCAAATCTGGTTTTTAAGTCTCCAAATCCTTCCACATGTGTATCCTACATGTAGAAGAATTTCTACAACACAGGGAAACTGGCTTGAAAGCCTCAGTGTTACAGTTCACTCCGTGCCTCCTGAACCTCCTTACCCATGTTGATGAGCGTTGATCAAACAGTTGACCTTCAGTTGAATTTCTTGACAAGATGAGTAATTTTGAAATAGTGGATAATTTCCTCATTGCTGTACGGCAGTATCTTTTTCAAATTAGTTCAAGCAGAAGTAAAAGAGACAGATTGCAGTTACTTACAAAGCCTTACAGATATATTTCATGTTATTAAGCTTCTGAGGTTTTAATTTCCAAAATAATAATGATTTTGTTTCCAAGCAAAGACAAAATTGTCTCTGTTGATCAGATTTCCTTAAACTATCAGTTTAGAAAAGGAAATTTATTATCTTATTGTCTCTATCTTTTCTTGAACAGGAATTATTCCCTCTGAAAGATGGATAGTAAATTTCGACCAAGACCTAGCTGATGGCCTTGTTTTTGCCGCACAAGTGGGAGCCTACTGCCCATTTTTGGTAAGTCATTTTATGCAGAGTGGTCTAATATTATCTGAAAAAAAAAAAAGAAACTTAGGAACTAAACTAAAATTCAAATTAAGAAACTAAAATTCAAACTATAGTTTCTGCAAACAGATTCTTCTTTTTTTTTTTTTGGTATAAATTTGCCTTTATTTTATGAACAGGTCATTTGCATTCCTCCTAGAACAAGGAAAATGTCTTTTGGGGGTTGAAACTGATACGCTTATTTTTTATTATTATAACTTTATTTTTACATCATTTTATGCCTTTTTTTTTTAACTCAGTTGTAATCCCTGTGGGCTCCCATCACCAGTTCACCCATGTGCCATCACCATAGTCCCATGTGTTTTTGATCCCAGTCCCCACTTTACCCCTGCAAAATGTCTCTGTTATATAGCTGTTCATTATTATTATTATCCCCCACCCTCGTCCTTTATGTTCCTGCTGTGAGTGAAAACATCCAGTATTTTTATTTTACTTTTGGCTTATTTCACTAAGCATGATCCCTTCCAGCTCCATCCATTTTGCTGCAAAAGGCATGAGTTTATCTTTTTTGATCGCTGAGTAATATTCCATTGTGTATATGTACCACATCTTTTTTATACAGTCATCTACTTTTGGGCATTAGGTTGATTTCATGTCTTTCCTATTGTAAATAAAGCAGCAATAAACATGGGGGTGCAGTTGTCTTTTTGAATCAGTGGCAGACGGATTCTTATATGTCTTAAGTCACACGTGGATGTGTATGTTAGCACTCCCTCTTTGCTTATTCTTGTTGCTTCATTACAAAATACATTTAAAATATTAATATTTAAGTGATTCTTTGCTGAACTGTAGAGAACAGCTAAAAAGTTGTCATTGTTAATATCATTAGTATAACATCTGATGTTTTCTTTTCCAGATTGATTCTCATTTTTTAAATATGTACACACAACCAAAAAGATCTGAACATTATCTGCACAATTGCCTGATTATTGTGAATGTTCTTCGTGAAATTGGTTTTGATATGGACATACAGGTGGGTACCATTATATTACAAATTTTGTAAATATTTTTTAAGTTTCTTCTTATTTTTTCCAGCTTTGCTAGATATTATTGATGAGTGAAATTGATTATACTTAGTTTGTCCGATATGATTTTTTTTGAGGTATGTGATATGATGGTGCAAGACACATATAAAGTGAAATGATTACCATTTGTTCATTAACACAGTTATCATTTCTTACTTATTTTGTGAGAACAGTTAAGATCTACTCTCTGCAGATTTCAGTATTGTTAACTTTAATTACTTTGCTATACATTACATTCCCAGAAGTTATTCATCTTACAGCTCAAAGTTTATGATCTTAATCATTATCTTCCAGTTTCCCTTCTTCTACAGCTGTCTCCATTCTACTGTCTCATTCTGAGTCTGATAGTTTTAGATCCCACATATAAGTGAAATATAAAACTTGTCTTTCTTATGTGATTGGTTTCATTCACTATAACATTCATCTATATTGTCACAAATAGCAGAATTTCCTTCTTTTTGTGGTGAAATAATGTTACACTGTAAGTGTATACCACATTTTCTTTATCCAGTCACTTTGGTTCCATATCTTCGCTATTGTGAGTAGTTGTAATTAAACAAGTGATAAACAGACATCTAGGAGATACTAATTTCATTTTATTTGAATATATTCTCAGAAGTAGAATTGCTGGACAACATGGTAGTTCTGTTTTAAAAAGTTTTTTAAAGACTACCTATACATTTTCTCTTAACACTGCTACCAGTTCATTTCTTTACTAATTAGCGTAGAAGGAGTCCTCTTTCTCTGTATCTTTGCCAAAACTTAACTCTTGTCTTTTTCATAGTAGCCATCTTAATAGGCATGAGGTAATTTTGATTTATATTTCCCATTAGCAATGTTGAACATCTTGTCTTGGACTTGTTAGCTATATTGTTAGCTATTGTAGGTCATCTTTGGAAACATTTAGTTGAGTCCTTTGTACTATTTCTTTATTCCTAAATTTAACAGGCAGACTAAAGGTCTTTTCACAGGGCATTGCTAAAGTATGAAAATTGAAATATGGCTTAATAGTAGAAATCTGGATTTTAAAAAACGGTACAATTATGTATATCCAACTGTGTAATAGGAAAGTAGTTCTAGTTTTAGGCCCAGTTATCTTAAATCAGAAGAGTGAAACTAAGTGCTTTATTATCATTACCTGAGTTCAAAGAATTAAGTTAAAAGAGATTTTTTTGAATGTAAATGTCTTATTATTATGAAATTTTATAGCAAAAAAGTAAAAATTTTCATTTTGGTTTTGCAAAAAATATCCATGTAGGTTTGTTTCATAATGGCTATATGCATTTTGATTATATCTCAGTTATAATTTCACATCAGTTCTTCAGGGGCAGTAGTCAAGGATACATTGTATGCTAACACAATTTTTAGCTCTTTGTTACTTTAGAGAATGAAATTGTATAATGATTGATTACTGACTTTGAAAACTGTGCACGTTCATTGGATTATCAGTATTTATACATGTTAGTAATCAGTAATACTTTACACATCTAATTGTCAATAGGAAAGTATGAAGAAGTAAGTTGCAAAATTCATATAAGTGAAGAGCTCAGAGTGATCTAGATTGATCCACTAAACCTCAAAAGACTTTGTGGATGGGGTAGGATTTATTTGGGGCTTTGAAGGATGAGTTGGATTTGGATTAGAAGTAGTAAGTTAAGAGGGAATTGTTCAGAGTAAATAGCATAAACAGAATGTCACATCTGAAAAAGTGGCATTAGGGTTGGGATGGGCAAAATAGGTGTATGTATTTGTTAAGAGCTTAGATATCAGATAAGTGGTCAGGATGGACAGAAGACAGGGGCTGGAGATAGGAAACAGACTAATCAAAGTGGAATTTCATTTGGTCAGGGAAGAAAATATTTACTTATGTCATTTTAATGGGGCCTTAAATTTGTAAGTCAATAGAAGTTCCATGGGGTTTCTACACCTGATAAGTAACCATAAAAAATGAGGTACAAGAAAAGGGCAATTTCAAGTAACTCCAAGTTTTTGTTTCTGTAGTATAGAAATTAACAATCTATTGTCCATTTATGACTTGATATGAAATAGATCTTAACACCTGCTGGATAAATGACTTTTCACAGTGACTGGCATTTTCCTTGTACTAATGAACTTGCTTGTTAAAGTGACTTTGTACCAGGTCAGACATTTACATTATTTTGTCAGTTTGTACAGAGAAACTGTAATCAAGGATTTTGGTCAACAAAAATTCGTTGATAAGAGTATTTTAAAGAAACAAACTCTTAATAGAAGACTGGTTTGGAAGAATCAAGTTATTACAGGTCCTGTAAATTCAATAAATCATTGAATCACCTTAAATGACTGAGTAGACCTCGCAAGGGATACAGATGTGGTTCAGCCACACTCATGTCTTCAGAGCTGTTACCAAATAATAGAGACAAGTCCTGGAAATAGAACTTGGCAAAACAAAGCCACAGTAGACATAGAAACACAGTAACATGGGTCAAAGGGGAAGGACTATTCTAGTAAGTCAACCAGGAAGCGTCATGAGGTATGGTTTTTAAGGTACTTGAGAACTTGAAAGGGGTTCAAAAGTGTTGTCATGCAGCCCTCACCCCATTTGGCACGATGAAAGTAAAAGTTAACATCAGACAGGCTTGAAGGGTAAAAAGCCAAAACTTCATGACATACATATTTAAAGACCTGGGCCATCAAAGAGAGAGAAAGGAGAGACCTCTCATAACACCTGAGGAGAGGACCTCATTAGTTAACTCTCAGAATAAAAAGTTGAGTTTCTTAGATAAACTCTTTTCTGCATGATACCCCCAAACTAAATTCTTCCAGATCACAAAAAGGAGAGCAGCGACTGCTTCTTTGATTAGGAAAAAGGGCAAAGATCTGTTAAAAGCCACTCTTAGCCTCTAGGGCCTTTATTGCCATTAACTTAAAATAATCTGCATTTTTAGGTAATGTAACCAGTTTCTTGAGGTCTACATGATCTTGATTGATTTTCGTTCCCCATACCAAAGTGACATTGATTAGACAAGGCCTACTCTAGGAGTATTGAGAAAAGCCCTCTGACCCTTGTGGCAAGATTGATTGCACACAAGCTGTGTTGACTTAAAATGCTTGTTGTTTTTGTACGTAGCCAAGAAATATTTCAAAATGCTCATCTGCTCTTTAAAGATAGATAAAACATGCCCAAGAATGATGGATAGAAATCTTGACAGTTAAATTTTAAGATAACTACTTAGTTTTTATCAGTGAGTTCCTAATTCCCTACCTTTTATTCACTTGTATTTATGAACATTTAACGTCAGAGTTATAAAATATTACTCTTAAATCAATTTGGGGAGCCAAATTATTGCTCAACATTGGCTCACATTTGAATCCTGTGGAATTCACGACCAGACTGATTTAGTAATGTTTAGGTTTCCTTGTTATATCTATTACAGAATCCATTTGGATAAGTTTCTTTGCTAGTAGGATGTTCTCTGTGGAATCCTGACAGCTGGAATATATAGTTATTACATATTCTCCCTTTCATGACATGCTTTTTATTTAAAGCAAAAATATTCTGCAAAAAGTATGGACTCAGCATACGATGTTTTTTTTTTTTTATTCTCGTGTAGAGAGAGAGAGAGATAAGAGATACAATAAACATTTGTGGAGGTTGTTTATTTACAAAACCGAGAGTGGTGATGGGAACTAAGGGTAAATAGATATGTAACTGTTCTTCTAAATAAGTTGTTTTTTTTTCCTACTTGACCACTTTTAGCCTTAAATAATAGAATCCATGAGTAATTTAAAAAAGAAATTCAGTATTTTACATAAGTCAGAAAGTAGAAAATTATTTAAAAGAATTATACACAATTATTATAGAGTTACTGAATTCCTCAACAAATTGAGTTTCATTTTTCTCAGCCATTCCTTACCTGCTGACTTTGTTTTAAGCATGTACACGAATAGCCCCAAAATTACTTCTGCAGTTCTCAGCAAATTCATACAGCTATGCTTAGAGCTAAGTGAACAGCATCTTTTACTTTTCTTTTTTTTCTTTTATATGTATTTTTTACATCGTTCTTTATTTTGTACATTTTTTTCATCTCATTTGTAATCCCCATGGACTTCCCACCATTTCGCCCCTGTGCCATTGCCTTAAAGAGCTTCTGTACAACAAAAGAGACATTACAGAAAAAGAGACAACCCCACTGATTGGGAGAATTTTTTTCCACATGTACTAATGATAAAGGACTGATCACAAAGATATACAAAGATCTGATGAAACTCAACAGAAATATTTTGCTTCTTTTTCTGTACTGTAAACCTTTACGAGTGGTACCATAGCATATTTCTCATTGCATGTCATTGACCAGAATTGCACCCATACTTTGATATGTCATGGAACACACACATGAAGTGGTGTTCTTGTAAAAGGAAAACCGCTGGGAAAGGCGATCAGTAAGGTTCTCTAGTGATAGTTGGCACGGTTTGCAGTTACAGCAAATTAAATCCCCATATCCCCATGAAGCTCAAGATCATCTCACCTCTGTGACTTATGAGGAAACTCAGGCCTAGGGTAACCAATTGATTAAGTCAAGATTGTGGCACTGAATAGTAACAGAAATTGGATTTAGTTTACCAGATTTCTATTCCAGAATTTTCTCCATTATGATTTTTTTGGTTGTTGTTGCTTAATTCCTTGTCTTTTGTTAATCCAGTAGGAAATAGTATAATCTTGGGGGAAAATAGACCAATACAATCAAAGTTCTTGGTTAAACCTATATAAAGAAAATAATGATTATGTCTCTGAAAGATATTTCACATGAAATACTTGTTATAAAAAACAACTAACTTATTTGAACATTTGACTTTTTAAGCCTCGGGCTGACTAAACTGTAATTTCCTTAGTTTATTTTCATTAACATTTATTATAAACAAAAACAAAAATTTTTTTTCTAGTTTTCAGCTTAGTGCCTTTTCAAATGCATCTCTAAGAAAAGCATATTTCCATATCACTGCACTTTCATCCTATTATGTATTTTTCAAAGATGAATTTTTATAGTCTCTATGTAACACTTATGATATGATCTGAAAATAATCTCTTAGTATATATTAAAGAATTCATTGGATAATCGAAGTGAAGATTCAAACTGAGGAAGCACTCCAACAGATTTACTCTGTGAGAGTTAATCCAGTTAACATGTGTTTGAATGCAGTTTGCAAGGGTAGGAACAGGGAGCCATTGACATTAAGAGTATAATATTTCGGATAGGAGATTTCTAGATGCAAGTTGTCCTGATGTAAAGAGATGCTGATGATAGAGGAAGGTAATGCTGGGTCATTTATTTACCTGCTAAAGTATCCACTGTAAAGAATGAAAGGCTAGGTACCATTGTGAAATCACTCTCTCTTTTTTAATTTCTTACTTTAAAATACTAACTTTACTTCCTGGCAGTGGATTACTGCCTGCAGGAATAGAGCTTGTGAAGATGACTTTGTTCTCCTGCCTGCTCTGAGGGAGTCATAGAAAATGTTACCATGTGTTCACTGTGTCAGTCACTAAAACAGTGTTCAAAAGACTCTTACTGACTTCAGAGTAGAGCACAGCTTGTTACGGCTGGTGCTCCCCTTCTCCCAACAGAAGTATTTATTACCACCCTAGATAGCCTTCTTGGGGCCACCTCTGGGCTGTCCTTTCACACAGAGCCTCTTAGAATTTAAAAGTGAATGTGGGGATTAAAGTCTGTATTTTGATTTTTAATTTGTTATTAAATGACTTCCCTCATTCTGCTGACTTATATTATCTCTATTAAAGAAATGTGAGACTAGAGAATACTAATGAAAGTCTTTGGAGGCTTGGTATATATTGCAGTTTTTCTCAAATCCAGCTCCCTGGCAGCTTCCTAGCCTGTGGAAATGGTTTTCTTCATTTTCACTGATAAACTCATAAACTCCTCCCCAGGCATAGTTATTGGTGAGCTATACTGCTTATTAACAAAAAGGAAAAAAAAAAGAACAAATCCTTATCATTTAAAGAAGGAAAGGCATGTATTGAAAAATGTCAACTAGTAGACAATCAGAGGAGTATCTCATTATTACCTGGTAAAGGGAAGGAAGTAAATTTTCCTCCTACTTTTCTATGTACTTGGCTGATACTTGCCTGAAACAAAGGAGTCAGAGGAGAAAAACAAACAAAATTTAGTACCCTATATACCCACTATCTATATTAGAGATAGGAAAACTGACTCCTTGAAAATTCCTGAACCACCACCTTAAGCACTATCTTTGGCTAAATATGAGAGATGTTCAACAGGGTTGCCAGTTACAGCAGGTTCTCAGGAATAAGCACCATAAACAAGCTTACGTAGTTACATGATTTAAACTTTTGCTGTATGTGTTGATAAGAGTTTCCAGAGGTTTGGTCATGAGAAAGATAAGGGGTGGGGGGAGAGAGTGCATGTGTGAGGGAGAGGATGAATCCACCTCAAATAATCAGTATACCAAACAGGTGCTTCTTCAGCTTGCCTTCATTGGTTACAGCTGCCAAATTTCAGCATCAAGTGTTTTTAGCTCCACATAACACATTTGATTTTCTGTGCTATGGCACTATCTGCATTTCCAGGCCTGGGCCAGCTAATTTTCAGTTGCTAACTTGCATGTGTGCTATTAAGTCATAGCTCTCTGTACATTTTATGGAAGTGTAGAGAGCTCCTGTAATTGAAAATGACAGAATTGCTTATGAGTGGTGTTTTCTGTATCTTTGAATCCTTGCCACAAACCAATTCCAGTACTTCCTATGCAATGAATAATTCACCTTCACTACTTTCCCCTTTGTGTGGGAGATCAGAGGCACTACATAAACTGATAGAATGAATTCTTCCTCCCTCTGTTCTCCTGGTCGCGGTGTACAAGCTTGTTATGTTAACTGCCCGTACTATTATTCCTCTGTAGTTTTGAAATTTCTGTATTCCGAAATCTGTTCACCAACCCTCAGTAGTTTACCTTATCCGTATAATTAAATTTCGGTCTTATTATACTTCTCTTTTTATTCTGGGAAAAGCACTTTCCCAACCACGCCCTACCTCATTTGCCTGAATGGTTGCTCTTGTGTTATTCTTTGTTCAAAAATTAAGGTAGTGAGGAGTGATCATTCTGCTATCCATGCCCTTCACTACGTGGCCCTGGAATTCTTTAGTGTTTATCCCACTACTTGTCCATTTTTATCTTCTGCAAGATTCAACCTATATTTTTCCAAACAAAGAATATACTTCTCTGTATTCATACCCCCATAGTGTTAACACTCAGAGCAGTGAGCACCCTAGGAGGCTCAGACTCTGAATCCCTGCTCTGAAGGGATTCAGCCATCCAGTCAAAGACTTACTGTGAAAGAACTTTAATAGAACTAGTACACCTATATAGAGAAGAGTGGTTAATATGTTGCCAATAAAATGCTCAGCGTTACCCATTCCCTTGTGGATAATTGCCTAGACAAACAGGGTTGGCCTGAAGCAGGGTCACTGAGGCTCAAAAGTTTGCCACAAGTCTAAGGCACCTCCTGAAGGAGAAACGTAAGGAAGTGGCAGAGGGGGCCAGGCAAGGCTGGGACAAAGGATAATGAAAGTACAAACCAAGACAGTGGCTGCCATTGTCAGTGTTTCCATATGTTTCTCCCATGTGTCTCTTCCAAGCATCTCCTTCCAAGTTCCTCAAATCCCTTGTGCAAGTTCGAAGCTGAAGAGTAAGTGGGCCTCCCTCTCCATACTCTCCACATAGCCTTCTCCACATGTTTCTCTGTGTGGCACTTTGAGCCGGCTTCCCCTCAGGGTTTCATAGCTTCACCTGGCCACCCAGTTCTGCCCCACCACCACCCTACCCCCACAGTGGAGAGGGAGATGTGGTACCTTCTTCTCTAATGGAGATGTCTCTGTTTCAGTAGTTCTTTTCTTTTATATGACACACATCCTTCTCCTCATGCCAAACACAACTTAATGAAAATCTAAGCCATCTTCAAGCCCATCTCATGCACATCACCTTCCATTGAGTTTTTGCTTGAAAATCTGTTGTCTTTTTTTTTTTAACCTCATTACTTCTCTCACTTTCTTTTTCTGCATTATATGAATCATTGATTGGGGTTCAGCATCTTAGTCACATCATTGTTCAGTATGTCTTGTGTGAGGTATTTTTCTGACTTCTCCCTTACTATTATGGAGTCTTTGCGACTGTGATGCCATGGTTGTGATAAGAACATGTCTAAATCATATTTAATCACATGGGTCAAGCTCTTCTGTGTCACAGAAGTATTTTGTCTGTAGTTTCTACATTTCTGTGTCATTGTTAATAACATTTTAAAATATTTTAAAATAATTTAGCAATTGATGTATGATGCTTTAGCTCTCTCTGTTTTTTTTTTTTAAGCTGTACATCCTTTAATTTTTATTTCCCTTCTTTGAAACTAGGCCACTGACATTTGTGATCCTAATCCCATCCTGATGCTCATGCTTTGTGTTTACATGTATGAAAGGTTGCCTACATATCTTGCCAAGAAGGTTGTGCCCTTCCACTGTACATTACATGACACTGTGCTGAGACAGGTAAGTATATCTCCATGTGTAAACAACACATGGAGTTAAATGCTTAAGATGGGTTTTGGATATTTTGTTGCAAACCCAAAATTAATACAAATATCAATATATTTTTTATTATTTATTATTATTACAAATATCAATATTTTTAAATAATCCTTAACAGGTATTGCTCCTTTCAAACCAACGATATAGAAAAGTAAAACTACAAACCTTAGATGGGTAATATCCCCATTTTCATTAATCTAGATTAGGGAGTGGTAAAAATTTCTTATGAGCCTACCAGCTTCCATTACTTCTTTTTGAAATAATCCACACACCAAAGTGACATGTCTTAGAAAGAAGTCTCCTCTTACAGAGGGCTGTCTTTCAGCAGACCTGTCCTCATGGTGACTGATAGCTATAAGCAGGTGAGCCAAATACGACCCCCAAGTCCTTGGTGAAACTCTTTAGCAAAAGCATACTTATCCTTGTAGTTACCAAAGTTGTCGTGAAATGTAAAAGTAACTAGTCTTTTGGAAACCCTTGTGATTCACTGTGATTGCACATATTGCTAATTATCAACTCTTCAGATATCTTTGACTCTAGTGCCTGGCTTTCCTATGTTGTGATAATCTTTTCTTTATTCCAATTTGCTCAACACCGATTTACTTCATGTTTTCTTCCACCTCTTCTTAATATGTATGTTTTCCAAATCTCCAGTATAGTCTATATATAAACACTTACATAGTCATATGTTGCTTAACAATAAGGACAAATGCATTGTTTGAGTATTTCATCACTGTGCAAAGATCTTAGAGTATAATTACACAACTTGGATAGTAAAACCTACTACACACCTGGGCTAGGTAATAAAGCCTTTTCTCCACCTACAATACTGTACTATCTGTAGTCCATCGCTGACTGAAAAATTCTAAGTGATACATGGTCACAGACTCACTTTTTTTTTTTCATTGACTCTCTCTAAAAATGAAGTTAACTCATTCTGTAATGTTTTCCACATCATAGTGTCAACAAGGAAGGGACAGCCAAACACACCCTATCCTACTCAGTAAGGAACAAGAGAAAATTACCCCATTGCTGTGGATTCTTCCTGGACTGGTCCAGCAAACAAATTAACATCATACAGATTAGTTGTAGAAAAAAGGACAAATTTTATCACATGTATATGAAGAAGTTACATCATTGTAAATTTTAGAGAAATGAAAGGTTGAAGGTCCATGTCCTCAGCTAAGGAATGGGGCAGGCAACTGCAATGTCAAGGGGAGTAGAAGGGGTTTCGCGTGATATGAAAGGGGTGACTTCATGTGACAGAAACCCTTCTTGGGCATTGGCCTGGCCAGAAGATAGTTTTCTCAAAAAAATAAAAATTAAAAAAAGGGTGGTTTCTGGAGACTTTTCAAGTCTTGAGGTAATGGCAGCAATTGTCCCTAAGACACACAAGAGCTCATTTTACGTTTGCTCCACATGCCAACATGGAAAAAAGGCTATTCTGAGCACTTTGGAAAAAACCTATCTGAGGGGAGGCCTGTCCTACAGCTGCTCAAGACAAGACCACTGTCATTTCCAGCCTGGACCTGTGATTTTAAACCTGTATTCCTTATGATACTTTACATCAAACAGCTGAAGTATCTTTTTAGTAAATTCAGTTATATAAGCTTTCTGTTTAAAATTCTCTAAAGATAGCCCTTTGCAATAAGAATAAAAGCCAAGTTGTCAACTTTAGACTGAAAATTTTATCTCTATATAAAGATATATATATATAATGTATATATATATATTTGTATATGGATTTAAAGTCACATATAACATACATAATATGTGTATATTAATGTTAACTGTCATTAATAAAAACTAGATGTTATATATCTTTAAAATTAATTGGTTTATTTATATTCTCATCTTCAATATAGATTCTCCTGAAAAATCCAAGCTTGAAAAATTTAGTGTATAATGCTACAATTGTTGGAAGAGATGCAGCTGACTTCTCCCTCTCACAAACAGGGAATATTGTGACAATTTCTCCAAAGTATGCATTTAATTTTTTTTTTATCATTAACCACAAGACTCTAAGATTTAGTTATAACAGAGTTAACTGAATTTGTTTCTCACAGATATATGTGTGTTTATATATAAGATGAAAAGCCTGTCTCTCAGGTATAAATAAATTATTCATATATTAATATCGTTCACCCATTTTGTTAAAACAGCTCCTTTTTATATGCTCATTTAATTTTAGTTTATTTTGCATGTAAATTGGCCATAGAAATGAGACTATAAATTATTTTTTAGATACTATAATTTGATTTCCTGCAGGAGACTGGAAGCAGTGTGTGCTGTATTTATCATATATATAATGATATTATACATTATATGCATGTTTGTCTTTATAGAAGTAGTGTTTGTTAGAAAATTTAGGATCCATAAAAGTAGTAAGAATAAAAGAGGGTAAAAACTGTTTATTTCACTTCAGAGTCATCCTTATCGTTGCCATTTTTCTGTGTACCTTCATAGTAACAGTGTGGAGAAAGGAGAGAGATGCACGTGTATACACATACACATATGTATATACACTCCCAAATTGTGGCAATTTTCTATAAACTCTCCTTTTAGTTGATTATGCTCTCGTGATACTTGTGTAACGCTTCTAGTACACTCTCAAACATGAGGTACAAATTAGACCCCCAGAGAATAGTCTTGAGAAATTAAATATAAGCATAATATTGGACTCTTTCCAGGTTAGCAGATCCTTTTTCATATGCCCTATAGGTTTTAATAATGACAAATATCCTTATTACATAATGCAAGGATGATATAAGAATAACTGTGTCAGTATCACAGGGTTGTTAATCCTGTTCATTAGTGATTTGATAACCACTAATGAACTTAACCACTATTGGATTTTAGTCATTATCTTTGTATTCAATTATTTTTCCCAGTACAAAATAACAGAATGTAGTTATGAAAGTTACTTGCAAGATTCTTTTTTTAAAAACTATGCTTACATGGCATACTTTTCATATTTTCATCTTTACTACTTGTATAGCAAACACAGAAATAATTGGAAATGGTGGCCACTTTTAATCGTATTTTTAAAACCACAAAACCCAGTTGCAGTGGTGTCCTTGGCTTGTGTTCTTAGCCTGTGTTTATTTTCTTCAGTTCCTGCTCCATGCCAGGGGGATATATAATTTATAAAGTCTCAATGAATATTCATGGTTGGAACTATGTCCAGTCTAAATTAAATATGAGGAAAACAATTCTGTATGCATCAGTTTCTATATTATAAATTATATCCCAGAATACAGCTCATTGTAAAAATAACCTATACGTTTTCTACATTAGACCTCTTACATAAGTCACTATAAAGCACAGTTTTGGTGATACAAACAGACCCTACTGAGTATTGTCACAGAGCTATTCCTCTTCCTTCAAGAATTTGATAACTTGAGATCTGTTCTTTGTCCTTTAAGTAGGTTGATACAAGTGGAAAAGATTTAGGTTTCCCATTTTTTTGGATTCATATTCTAATGGCTTCTTCCAGTATTTCAAAGCTTTCATTATGTGGAAATTCTTCCTAAGAACTACGTTAAACCTCTCAGATTTTAGATTCAGAGCATATCTCTGTTAATGAACTTAAGCAGTTATAATTTTTATTACAAATGTAAAACCTAGACATTGTTGAAAATAGGCTTACAGAAAAGTATAAAGAGGAAAACAAAAATCACCCAGCATTCTCTCAAAACAAGTTAATTTCTTTCCAAATATGTTTATTATAACATATGCATAATTATGTCTATCACATTTATACAAAGCCCTTGACATTCAGTAAAATTTGGCTTTGGCTATTTCTTTGTTTGTATGTATATATATATATATATATATATATATATATATATATATATATATATATATATATATATATATGTATGTATATTTATATATACATATATATACACACACACATCCATATACATATATATGTATATATATACACACTTAATTTTTATTTTATTTAAAAATATATTTGTTTTAACATCATTCTTCATTTTGTGCATATTTTCATCTCAGTTGTAATCCCTGTAGATTTCCCACCACTAATTCACCCATGTGCCATCACCATAGTCCCTTAGTGAAATAAGCCAGAAAGAAAAATACAAGATGGTTTCACTCAGAGCAGGAATGTAAGACTTTGGCTAATTCTAAGTGTTCCTGAAGACCCACGGCATGCAATTGTATCACTTATTTTTCTAGGAGCTGGCTTGTTAGACTGTTGCACAAACCTTCCTTCCTTTGAACATCTCAACAGTACTTTTTTCTCTTTATTCACTATTGCACCATTTATGGTCCATATTAATATGATATGGATGTGTGTATAAATATTAGGTTGTCAAACTTTTATACATGCCCAGTGAACATTAAGTGATCACATATACATGCACATCTATCTGCACATGTAAAATCAGAACTGTATGTATTCACAGTTCGAACAATATTATATGTGTACATGTATTCTTGTTTTCAACTTTTTTTTTAAAGATTTATTTATTTGTGCATACAGAACTGGGGTACAGGACAGAGGCTCAGGGGCGGTGAGAGGCTTCACCAGAGACAGAGTGGGGAACAGAACAGGCAGATCGACGAAGTACACTGCTGAGGGGAGCAGTGGGCTGGTCAGGAGAGGTCTGCCACACCATGCGTCACCTCCGGGGCAGGCAGGAATCGAACTCATGCAGAAACGGCCTTAGATTCTCAGTGCTGTGCTTTAACCCACTGTGCCACCATGGATGGCCGTTTTCAACTTTTTTTAATCAATATTTAACTCTCACGTGCTTTAACAAGTCAAATATACTGAGAAGTTTAGAATGAAAAACGAGTCCCTCTTCTTCAAATCCCTCCTCATCAGTGATGCACTTAAATGACCTACTTAGATTTCTTTCAGTTACGTCCTATTTAGTTCTTCCGATGGTTACCTCTGTAAATGTAATTATATATCCTTGCAACTATGAAGTGGTAGTATTTACTTCAGAAATAATGCATTAAAATATAGTTATACTATTTGATGGTCTAGTTTATTCCTCTGCATGTATTCCACCAAATACCACCAGTTTTACCTTGTATCTTGTATTCATTAATTTTCTAAAAGTGTATTTTTCTCACTATTTTCTTATGCCATCTGCATAGAAAAAATCTTCTCAAGCCTTTGAAGCCAAGAAAGTTAGTAAATTTGGAATATGTTCATATAATCCTGAAATTTCTTTCCTTCTCGTTTACTACATTCTGGAACTCTAGGCTTCTTTTTTCTTATTAGGATTGGTCACTTTCGAGGCCCATTTAAGTGATGCCAATATTGAAAATGCTGTATTTCTGTTTCTATATAAATTAATAGCTTTTTCTTAGTTTACCAATTTACTTTAAAAAGCATCTTTATGTAACCTCATAAAAAGTATATAAGTGAAAAATCTATGATTTTGCATTTTAAAATATGTGTTTATGGTATTCCTACTTTTGATTTATGCTTTGCTTAGTCTACTGTTCCAACTTGCCTCTCTCCTATAAATTTGTGGTGATGATTCGTTGATAAAAATATATCAACACTCCTCACAAGTGTTTGCAACCTCATAGAATTCTATCAAGTAGATACACAATGAGAATATAATTTGATATTTTGTTCTCTGATATGTGTGTAGAATTAGAGAGTAGAGGAAAATTGAAGCACCTAAGTATTCTTGGGGAAACCATAGAAGGCTCTCCAGAAGAGGTCTTGCTTTGTTCACAGTGCATATGAAAAACATTAACTTTTTTTTATTTTCATTTTATTTTAAAGGCTAGAGTATTGCCATTAGGTAGTTCTTTAGCTAGGCTACATATTTTCATAACCTTGGACTTTTATGAATAAGACTGAGAAAACATTGTATTCTTTAAAAAAAAAAGTCAACTTTATCATGATCAGATCTTATAAAAGTATCTGTGTACCACTTCCTGTCTTAGATTCTATCTAAATAGCAATTATTAATGGATCTTTCTGCCAGCTGTGGATTTTAACTCAAGAGATATAAATTATATAGAAAAGATTAAACGGCTACACTAGCATATAATCAAAGTGTTTATTTCTGCATCTAACTTGATGAATAAGTTTAGCTATAACCACAGAGTGAATGTCATAAAAGTGAAAGTAATACTTTTAGAAAACAATTCTGTTTCCTTTTCCCCCCTCATTATTCTCATTGAGCCATATGTGTGCTGACATTGATAGGTTTGTTATTCTCCATCTTTTCTAAAGTCAACTTGAAATAGCTTACAAGGCACATGTAATTATCAGGTTTTTTTTTTTTTCCCAAAGAAAAAAAAGCAAATCAAAAAAAAAAGAAAAAAAGATAAGAGAATTAAGATAAAGCCAATAATTATGATACACATGTCTAGAGAGGTAAAATACTTGCCTGAAGTTGACTCACCATTTGACTCTGAAATTTTTCCCGTCTTTTAAAGAAATTTATGTTTGTGTGGTTTTTAAGGTAATCACTTATGTGATTCAGAAAGAGGTCTCAAAGGCCACTATTTGTTCTCAATGAAACTTAAGTCCATGAGTTTTTCATAATGACCAAGAAAATGTCCTTTTATTCAAATTTAGATTAACAGTGACATACATAACTGAAGAAAAACCATTCCCACTCCAATCAGATGTGAGCTCAAAACAATTTGGAGGATATCGCTACTGACTTGGCTTCTTTACTCTTTGCTACTCCCTAACCTCACTATTCAGTAGTAATTCTACAAAGGTTCTAGGGAAATTAAGTCAAAGTTTGACACCAAGAAAATCTACTCCCATCTCCATTCCCAAATATGGGTATGAGTAGGTGATATTTGATTGTATAAGAATAAATGTGATAGGGTGCATCATGCTAACTATTTTAAAAGTCAGAGCAAAAGCAAAGGTAAAATTATCCAAGATATACCACCCATATCAGTGTCAAGGCAACACTGAAAGATTCAGTTAGTAAACAATTGGTTGCAGAAATCTAGCATCATACATCTTTGTTTCAGTGACTTGCTTTGGGTGGACACCTGCATGTTTTATGGATTAGAGCTGGTCACATTTTCTTTTCTAGATCTTTTGAAAATGTAGTATTCTATTATATATATTCTTATACAATGTATGCTTTCTCCTCTCAGATGTAGTCCCCGTCAAATTCCCACCACCAGTTCCCACACTATCACCATAGTCCCTTGTGCTCTTCTTTCTCCTGTTTTGATCCTTCTCCCTTCTCCTCCTCTGTAAAATGTCTGATTGATAGTTGCCTGTGATTTTGATTTTTTTTATTATAATTACTTCCCCTCCCCAATCCTTTATTCATTTCCTCTATATTCTTCCATCTGGTATTTTTCTTCTGTGGCATATTTCACTGAGCATACTCCATTTTAGCTCCATCCATGTGATGAGTTCATCTGATTCTGAGGTAATAATCCATTGCACATTTATACATTATCAGTCAGCTATGAAGGACACTTGGGTTATTTACTCATTCTTGCTATTGTAAATAATACTTCAGTAAACATTGTGGTACATAAAGGTATTTGAATTGATTTCGGTTTCTTTGTGTAACTACCTAAAAGTTAGATTGCTGGATCATATGGTAGATCTATTTTTTTTTTTTTTTGAGGAAGCTACATATTGTGTTCTAAGTGATTCTACCAGTTTTCATTCTCGCCAATAGTATACAAGGGCTCCTTTCTCTTTACATCCTTGCCAATGCTTGTTGCTTCTGATATTCTTGATGTTCACCATTCTTACCAGTGTGAAATGGAATTTTATTATCTTGATTTGCATTTAGCTAATAATAACTGATGCTAAACATTTTTTCATATGTCTGTTGACATATGTGCTCTTTGGAGAAGTATCTAGTCATGCCTGCTTTTTTTTTTTTAAATTATTTATGCATACAGAACTGAGGTACAGGCCAGAGGTGCAGGGGCGGTGAGAGGATTCACCAGAGACAGAGCTGGGAGCAGAACAGGCCGATCTACTGAAATACACTGCTGAGGAGAGCAGCGGGCGTGTCAGGAGAGGTCTGCCACGCCACATGGATCACCTCTGGGACAGGCTGGGATCAAACGCATGCTCAAGAGGCTTTAGCTTCTTAATGTTGTGCTTTAACCCACTGCGCCACCATACCTGATTATTTTTAATGGGATTGTTTCTCTTTTTGTCGTTTAGTTACATCACTTCTTCATATACCTTGAATATTAGTCCTTTAATGATAGCATATGAAATTAATTTTCTACTCCTGTTTAGAAGGCTTTTTGTTGTGCTCTTTTCTTTAGCTATGCAGAAGCTTTTCAATTTGATGCACTCAAAATTGTTAAAAATTAATAGATATATTTACTAAACATCCTTGTTTGTTTATTCACAGTAAAGGATTTCTCACCAGGTGAAGTCACCATAGTGCCCCCCACTTCTGCCAGTGTTCACCACATGCTATTTATTCTTGCTAGTGTCTGTTAGCTCTCCCAGCATTCAACCATTGATCTTGGATCCCCAATATGTAATTATTCTCTGCAAGAATGTCCTTCTATTTTCCATACTTAATTGTGTGTGCTCCCCCCCAAACAGCCCTCAGGTTCTAGGGTCTGCAATATGGGCATGAGCCCTTCAATCACCCAAAAAAAGGGGGGGTGCTCTATATTCCAGCTATCCCTCCCTCCCTTGTGTTGTTTTCCTGCTTTCTACCCTCGCTGACTTTTCTGTCAGTTTTCCTGGTGCAAAAAATTACCATCCAGTTGGTCTTTTTCAAGAACTATTGTTTTTATATGTATGTATTTTGTTTTATATGTGGGTGGTAGCTGAGCTCCACGTCTTCACTGTCCTGCCATATTGGTGGATATCTCTTTATTCTGTCTTTTGTTTGTCTCAAATAAAACCATGCTACTTCCCTATAATTTTATTTTGATTTGAGATTTGAATCTTATTTATAAGCACAGCTTTAAATATTTTGTGAACTCTTAGTGTTTATGTTTCCCTCCATGTAACATTACTAAGCAGTGATATTACTAAGAATTTGCCTATACAGGCACTGCCTGGTGGCATAATGGGTTAGACTGCAGCACTGCAAGCTAGCTGCAGCCACTTCAGTGTGAGTTCAGTCCCCAGCTCTAGAGGTGACCCACATGGCGTGGCAGACCTCTCCTGACCCACCCGCTGCTCCCCTCAGCAGTGTACTTCGTCGATCTGCCTGTTCTGCTCCTCTTTCTATCTATGGTGAATCCTCTCACTGTCCCTGTACCTTGGGCCTGTACCCCAGTTCTGTATGCATAAATAAATAAATATTAATTTTAAAACTTGCCTACACAGTAGTAAAGAACCATACATGGTTTTACACACATATTTGTGGCTAGCTATTAGTAAATATAATAGATTGTATGTCCATTTGGTGCTAACTTTGGGTTTTCAGATTGCATCAAGATGTTTTAACTGATGATAATACCTATGTTGTAAGTGAGTAAGTATATTAGAGAATGCAGGCAGTGGACAAATTATATACACTGAATAAATATTTGTTCCATGTCTTTTTTACTAAAATATTTTCTTTTTATATTTTTAAAACAGAAACCAAATTACCATCACTCTAAAATTCACAAGTCGCTTCCTCCGTCCTGCTGAAGCTACACTGCTGTTAATCTCAAAGTCTAAGCATGCCGTAGGAGGCTCCACAATGACTTTTGCTCTTAAAGGCGAAGTCCTCAATTTCAAAGCCTTTGTAAGTAAACCTTGCCTGTTTTGTGAGTCTTTGCTTTTCTTATTAGCCAGACATTGCTGTTTTTTCAATTTTTATCACTATGCAGCTTTTTTTTAAATTGGAGATCACATTCCTCTATGGGCACAAAAATGTGTGTATATTTGCATTTGTACAGTTCTTGACTTCTGTATCCCTGATACTCTGACTTTGACACTAGTTCTGTGGAAATAAGACTGTAATTTTATTAGAGAAGTTGAAAGGACTATATTGTAAGGCCAGAAATTTATATATATATATATATATATATATATTTAGTGGGGTCAACCATTCAGTGGGTAGGAACTTGTATGTCCTTCTGCCATGGAGACTTCTGATTTAAGTTATGTATGAATGTTTAGGTTTGAATTAAGTATTCACACAGCAAAGAAAATGTTTCTCTTCTGTGATAGGAATATTTATCAGTTTGATTTGAGTACTCTATGGATCAAATCTACTTCAAAGATAACACTAAGACTGACATATTTAGAGTTGATCATGTTCTTTCATTGTATATATTAGATGTGTGTATATATATGTGTATGTATATATATACACACATGTATATATACATGTTCACTTATATTCATATGTGTGTGTGTGTGTGTGTATAAATATATATATATATATATAATGATATATAATGATTTGGAAAAAGTGAACTCATAATAAATCAGTAAGAAAGCAATTTTAATGAATTCAATTTTGCAGGCACTATTGTGACCAAAAATAATTTTGTAACAGGATAGGGCTGGGACACCCCAAAACCTCTAGACCTGCCTTTTCTAAATATTTATGCCATCACCACATCAAAACAAAACATTTAAGACCTTAAATGGAAAGGAACTTTAACACAATGAGTGTTCAATACAGAAAAGACAAAGAATATTGTTTCCAAATCAAGGACCCAGAGTTACTCATCCCCTCATGGGTATATGTCAAACACGACTGGCCCAAAGCAGGGCCTCTGAGGCCTGAAAACCTGCCCAAGCCTAAGGCACATTCTGGTGGGAAGCTATCAAAAAGTGTCAGAAACAGACAGTTCTGGGAGGAAAAGAGCAAAACAAAGTTGAAATAAAATCTGCCATAGTTAACCTCCCACGGTCTCTCACCCACATCTGTGTCTCCCAGTCCAGGACCAAGAAGCAAGCGAAGCCTCTTCACCTGTCTCTCTGCTCCGCATGCCTCCTCCAGGGCTCCTTCTGGCTCTCCATCCTTTTACCTTCCTTCCCCAGTCTCCTCTCCATTTTCTCCCTCCTGCTCAGCTCCATCCTCCCTTGGTTGGGCAGGGAACCTGGAACATCCTCCTTTTCTGGGGACACCATGTTAAAGTTTGGATAGCCCAGTATTAAGGGTCAATGATAAGGTAAAAGTGCATTTTTTTATCAGTCCCCATCCAAATTTTAAGGGTATACATATTTGTGGGGAAAGGGTAATTTTATAAATGAATAAAGCTGTAATATTTAAATGGACAATTTTTTATATGCTTGAAGTTGATATTTTAGAAATCTGGATAGTTTTGTTATCATATAGTATATTATTATTATTATTTTGTTTTTTAGGAAATTATAAAATGCAAAAGCCCTTGTTATACATGGAAAGAAATCACTGTGAATATTAAAAACCCCTTCCACGTCACTGGGGACTTCAGGTAACTTATACTTTTGCTGTAAATTTTTTACGCTCATCTCCTATATAGGGGGGATATATAATTTTCAATGTGAACGATTTTGAGGAGGAATTTTATGTATCTATATTGCTATAAATTTACCAGCATCATATAAAATAGCACAAATAATTAAGTTCAGTCAATTTTTCTTGAAATACTATTTGATATATTGTACTTAACAACAATAATAACATAATCTATGGTGATATGACACAGTAAAATGCTGAAATGTTATTTAAGGTCACAATAGAAACTTACTTTTCTATAAGTTTACTCAAATCTCTCTTGAATAAGATGTACAATAATATGTACAGCTTAAGTATGAACTCTGTTTCTTTCAGCTTTAAAAATTATGTCCTCATAAAAATAATTGTATTGAGACCTATATACTTGCTTATTTAGTACTCAATAATTTCAGTTATAATAATCACTGTTTCAAGACTTCTGGTAGTTTATTTTTTTTTAAGATTAATTTATGCACACAGAGGTGTGGTATAGGTCAGAGCTGCAGGGGGGTGAGAGGATTCACCAGAGACATAAAGGGGAGCAGAATAGGCATGTTGATAAAGTACACTGCTGAGGGGAGCAGCGGCTAGGTCAGGAGAGGTCTGCCACACCATGTGGGTCACCTCTCTGGCTGGGGATCAAACTGGTGCTGTAGTGGCTGCTGATACCTTGATAGTGCTTGACACCACCAGGGAGGGGCAAGACTTCTGTCTGGTAGTTTCTAATAAACAGTATCCCTTATTGTCACCCAAACAAAGATTCTCTTGTTAAAACAGTAATTGATGAAATATTTCTTGTTGCAGGTCTGCTGGCATTAACTTCTTTTTGGTTTTGTTTATTTGGTAATATTTTAATTTCTCCCTCATGTTTGAAGAAATGTTTTATGTATGCAGTGTTCTTTCTTTGCAGTCTTTCAGCACATTGAATGTGTCGTCACATTGCTTTCTGTTCTCCAAGTTTTCTGATGGGGATTTAATTGAGTTAATCTTTTGAAGAGCATGATGGGTGTTCGATCAATGATATTTTTCTTGTGTACTGTGATTTGGCTTTTCGTTAGCTTGACTATTACTGTCTTGTTTTGGATTGCCTTGGGTTTATTCTGCTTAGAAATTTGTGTGTTGTTTTCAACATGCAGACTTCTTGTCATCATATCTGAAAGGTTTTCATTTTTTCTCACATTTTCTTTCCGCTCCTTTCTCCTGTTTTTTTTTTTTTTTCCAGGATTCTAATGAGGCTTGTGTTTGTACACTTAATAATGCCCCTGCAGTTGTCTGAGGTTCTGTAAATATTTCTCCGTAATTTCTGATGTTTAGAATTGACTATTTTCATTGACCTATTTTCTTTCTTTCTTTCTTTTTTATTCTGGTAGCATTGTTTCACAGCACTGTATTGTCCTAGGGGCATATGTTCACACGTCCTCACATGCATGTTACCATTCCACGTATACCATCAACACCCATTGCATTGTCCTTATCTTTTTCCAATATGAAACCTGGTATTTAGGGTTCCTCTTGTGATTTTTTTAAATTTCAGATATTGAACGTTTCAAGTTCAGATTTTATAATTTGTTCCTTGGAATACTTTCTAATTGCCACTTTCTGCCTTTTTTTCTGATAGCCATGTTTGATTGGAAAACAATTTTTTTTTTGGTAACTCTAGCTTCTCAAAATCAGGTATTTGAATCCTCAAAATTAACATCACCTAGGAGCCTGTTTGAAAAACAGAACCTCAGACCATCCAGTCCAGTTGAATCAGACTTAACAGTATTTCTGGAGTATTGTACATTTCTGTTAGGCCAGTGCTGGTTTAAGTCAGGATTAATCCATGGGAAACTACTTGAAAACCATCCAGAGAATTGTTTTAAATGGGGCTTCCTGGAACCCACAGTAGACACTCTATGTCAAATTTCAGCAGATAGGAACTTGGGAATCTATATTTTGAACAAGAGCTCCAGAATATTATATTACATTGAAACATGAAAATCCCTGATTTAGAAATTGCAACAATCAAGTAGGATTTTATTTCCATTATTAATAGCATTTTGTATTTCATTCTTATAATTAATGTTTCTAATTATTTTTAAAAAACATGTTCATAGTAATTAAACTAACTTTCCATCAGAAGTATAGGAAATGCTATGTTATCTCAAACTAGTTCATATACAGTGTGCAAAAATAAGTAATATTTTTGATTGGTTTAATACTTTTATTTGTGTGTCAAACTGTAGTCATTGTAACTGCGAAGATGACATGATCACCAAGGTAAATTGCCTCAGTGATTGACCTTGCATTTATAGAAATTTAAAGATACCTTGTAATTTTTACCTGCCTTCATCATTTTGTAAGATTCAAATATGAATTTAGTACCTGACTTTAAATTTCATTTATTCTCTGGAGAGGAACTCTTCCTTAACTGTAAGTTTACAATTATGTAAGAAAATCTAATAGTCTGACACATGTCTTGAATAGTTCATAGTTTGCTATAGTTCTTAACAGTATTATACAGATTCTGTTCAACTGTTACAGGAAGAATTGAGCATTTCTGATATGACTTCCTATGACTTTTTTTACGTACTCTCAGAGTATCACTTCCATACTATCTTCCCAATACAGTGTGACCAACTAAAGGCAGAAAGGATGAGTATTCATGTTTTTAAATGTATAATTCCTAGTCTCATAACTCACTCATGGAGGCTCTGTAACTGTTTCTCGAATAAATGAGTATTGTCATATAAGAAGGAATGAATTCCTGTGTAACTCCAGAGGATCATAATTATTTTGCACCAATTAATGGGTACCAACTTCTCATATCTCCTCCTGAAAGAAACATTGCACTTTTTTTGTGAAACAGGATTAGAAGTTATCAAATGTACAGCTCAGGCAATGTATTTAGATCAGTGTGTGATTTCCTCTTTATTTTTGGAATATAATTTGGCCAATTATTCATAGTCTGTATTTTTTTGCTGTGAGAATTTAGTGTTGTCTTCCCATACTAAAGAATATTACTGTTTGCTTATTTCCATTCCAGAACTTCCCTTTTTTTTTAGCATGTATTTTGTTTTGCAGAATGAAAACACATGGACTTACTGAACTGTAATTGATTCTAATTATATTTTACCAGTAGTGAAAATGTGAAGAAAAAGTATTTTGTAGTTGTCTGAATTTTACAGCAGTGCAATTGAAAACAGTCTTTTCTTCATTTGTTTTAGTGTCATTTTGGTGGAATCTTCAACATTTATCTCTTTGCCGTCCCAGCTGACTGGACCTGAACAAGTCATGGACCACATGACCCATAGGTCAATATCTGTACATTTTACGCTAATGATTACCTTAGGAAAGTTCTAAGGAAATAGCATTCAAGTAAACTTGTTAGATACATATACAATAATTTTAGTTTACTTGAATTATTTCATTTTTGGTGTGTGTATATATATATGTGTGTGTGTGTGTATGTATGTATGTATACTTTGTATTAGTCACCTGCATGGAAACTGGAAATTGAATAAATATGCACTTGACTCAACACAGTGGATTCTAATTCAATGAAGTTATGTTCTATAAAATTGTAGCAGATATTCATTTTTGTCAATACTGAACCATTTCTCCTAAAAGAAATATGTATGTTTGCATAGATTATAATTGTAGTTCTGAAGTCAAACCATCTTGGTAGATGCTACCTTCTTTACAATGAGAAAATGAAGTGCAGGAATATAAATGACTACCTGAGGCTAGCCACTAACAGTACCAGAGAACAGTTTCAACCCTTGCCCATCAAGCCCCTTACCTGAGCTTCTTGCACTTCTGAAACATCTCGTGTGGCCAGTGTCCCATTCACGTCATCTTTGTATGAATTCCGAATCGGGAAAGCCCCATGATCACCTCATTTCACCTCAACTTAGTAATTAATATGACCAGTAACTCAAAACTTTTTGCTACTCTGCATGTCCACAAACACCATGAGAGCACCATGAGTGTTGATTTGGGACTGACAAAGACTTTTTACTGAGGAGGCGAATTTCAAAATATAGACTTTGTGGATAATGAGGATTGACTGTTTAAGATTCTGTTAATGACATTTGCATTTTGTTTAGAAAAGAACGTAGACTTCTAAATAGAGAAGCAGCTTTAAAAAAAAAAGTTAGATGGCTTTATGTTTTTCATTTGTTACATACTACAGAATAGCTATTTAATGTGGAATAGAATAAAAATAATGTTACCAAGGCTCAAGGAAATCAGGCAGAAAGAAAAATCATGTAGGTGTTATCAGTGAAATGCATGTATTTGTTGACAATAGTGTATTATTTTATACTTTTGTCTCTATAATGCTTGATAGTCTCAGTCTTATCTTTCAGATGCAAAAGTAAAGGTTAGGGTCCCTTGATTTTGAGTCTTCTCACCTTCTCAGGTTCTAACAGTGCAAAGAGCAGGAAACACCCACATATTTACTGCCTTCCAGATATCCACTGCATCCTTTTATGAATAATTCCTGAACATAGGAAGGATGGAATGAATCTAAAATTTGATCATTTAATCTTCATTCCCATGCATCATAAGACTATACTTGAACCAAATATTTTGCTGTTTGCTTTAGACAGGCTCCAGAATGCTGGTCCAGGACTCCCTGCACGAAGGCTCTGCTAAAAATCTTCCTTTTCTGTTGGGAAAGGGTTGATAAGGAAGTTTGATTTATTTATGTCCTGAATGGAACCAGTTCAATATCATTTTGATTGCTTTAGCTTGAAATTAGCTGCATACCAGTAGGGCAAGGGAAAAAGGAAATTCATCCCTTTACGTGTCCTAAGGGGATACAGTTCCCTGACTTTGACCCCTACTAAATTATCAGAAAATATTCCATTGCTTCATTGGAGGTGTTTTGTATAATTTCAGCATCTTAGGGTGTTATTTCTTCCTTCAGACTAGTTTAATTACGTTCCCTTTACCATAGCTTCAACAATAGCGATGAACACGTTTGTAAATGATGGATGGCCTGAGGTGAGGTGCAGGGAGTAACAGAAATGTAAATGAATTTTGTTTTCTGTTCTGTGTTTGGGACAAGCAAGATAATGATTTTATAAATAAGTTCGATTTATCCCTGAATTTCTAGCCTCATGAACATTAATCAAGTAAAATGGAATTTTCCTGAACCAAATTATTTTATGTCTCTCAGTTAATCATGATGATCATAACTTTATGAACAAATCTATACAAATTTGAAGATCTGCAGATATTTTATTTTTCTATCTTTTCCAGAAGCAGTATAGGTAACTCAATTTTTCTGGGTTTATCTCCTTTGAGGATGAGGTAGTGCATTGATTCATTCAAAAGACAGTTTCATTAGCTGTTCTCCAACAAAATAGGTAAAGAAAAAGGAGATGATGCCTAAATTGGCCTGTTTTCTATTCACAGTAGAAAAATGACTGAATGGCTAGAGATTGCATGTACTGAACAAAATGAGGTTTAGAGATTATCTGTGGATTTTAATCAAGAATTCTCAGAACTCCATTATGAAAGAGCAATCGAGTCATGCATGGAGAAATAATAATCTGTTATTCTTTCTTCTGTGGATGGTATCCCTTGTAAGGGCTAAAATATCCTCTATTGTGTCTGAAGTATCTGTCAAATGCTAAAATTTCATAAATATTAAATATTCTTTACCTTTAATTGCTGTTACTTAAATGTTAGCCAGACTGTGAATAATGTAAAGCACAGAATACTTCCAAGTTGTAGTAAATAACCTTATTAAGGACATAGAGGAAAAGACAGGGTTTGGAGAAAAGAATTGGGCATGGTTGGGAAAACTTGACTTGGAAATAGTCAGTTTTTACAGCATCAGATTCAGACATACTTTTGTATCATCTACTTTAATGACAAGGTGAGAAAATATGAAGGTTTTGTAGTCTCAGAAGAAAAACAAAAGTCAGGTAGGCAATACCAGAGAGCCCAGCTATTAATTGAAGCTTGTTGAACAAAGTAATCATGAATATTAAGGGAAGAGCAATTTGGAGAAAGTTGATAATTTCTAGAAAATATGAAACCATTCAAGGGGTGCTGTTGCTTCAGGCTGCGACCTGTTAATTTATGTTTAGACATGCAACTAGAGATTACACAGCTATCCAAGTCTCCTTCTGTCTTTATGAGAAAGAAGCAAATGTGGAAACAGTAAACTCAGAGGTGTTTTCAAGAAGATGCAGAAACAGCTTTTGAGGGTACCTGTGCAATCCTAAATCGAGACCACCTACTTTTAAATCTTAAGATTTAGGTTATCATTGTTAGCATCATCACATGTTTTATTTCTTAACAGTATTTGGAAACAAAGAAGAATCATTTTTACCAAATTTCAAAGACAGTGGAACTCTAGATACTGTTAAGCTTCTGTTTTATGTGTTTTATCTTTTTAAGATTTCTAAAATAATATCAACTTCAAATAATACAGGAAATACATCTCTGGTATCTGCTTATCATATTGTAGATAGCCACAATAATGGATCTTTAAGACTGAAGTAAGAATAGGGAATTGTTTCTGACTCTCCTTTGCCTTGTTAATATCCTTTTCCTATTTTACTCCTGACAGTGATTATGTGCATGGAAGTAAACGTGATATTGCTGAGGGCTGTCCCCACACCCCAAATACTTTAAAAACTTGTGAGTATATCAAATTAAAGCTTCTCTTTGTTTTCATGTTTTATTTTTATGTACAAAACCTAATATGGAGTAAAATAATCAACAAAAGGTGGTGAAAATGATGTATTTCTGGCTGCATGGGGAACAAACATTAGTCCCAACCTTTGATTCTTTGAGGACTCTGCCTTTAACTGCTGAGTCTTATTTTCTTCATCCACGCATGACCTGTGTTTAGATAAAATGACCTGCATGTTCCTTTTAGCTTATTCTAAATTTTTCAAGACTTTTGAGGAACCTGGTATACCCAAGTTTAAAATGATAAGGAGAGTACCTATTTTCCTTTTTTTTTGTGAACTAACTATGAGTTTAGAAAATATGGCTAGAAGATAACTAAGCAAACAGCTATAGAAATACTCTGATCATCTGTAGCTATGTTATACTATTCTAAATGTAGTAACATTGAAAAATAACATAAACTATGATTTTTCTTTTACTCACACTGCTGGGTGACAGTGTTAGGTGAGGGGGTACCTGCCTGGGGTTCCGCTTGTAGTTGCAGTGTGTGGGAGCCTGAGATGTGCTACATCTGGAACACTACCTCACTCATGTCTCTAATGGTTAATGCCTTTGGACTGTCTATTTAAATGTTTACATGTGGCCATCGTATGTGGTCTAGGCTTCTTCTTGGGATGGCAACTTGGTTCTAAAAGCACTTAAGCCTGACGTAAGTAATAATTTGGAAGAAATCATGTTACATTTGCTGAACCAGACCAACTTTTTCTGTATTCTAGTGGAGTTTGGTTAGCGATGAGTCACTAAGACTGATCCATCACACCAGCACATTTCAGGCAATATTAAAAAAGTTATGAACATGGCCCTCCTTGGTGCTGCAGTGGGTTAGAGCACCGCACTATGAAGCTATCCAAAGCCACTGCACCATGAGTTCAATCCCCAGCAGGGAGCTGACCCACATGGCTCTCCTGTCCTGCCCGCAGCTCCCCACAGCAGTGTATTTCAGTAGATCCACCTGTTCTACTCCACACTCTATTGGAGGATACAAAACAGGCCCCTGCACCTCTGGCCTGTATTTCTGTTCTTCTATGTATAAATAAAATATATATGTTTTAAAGAAATTGTGAACATGTTTTAAAACTTCTGAAGATATTATAAGACCCTGGAGTAACACCGGGCTTAGGGGCAGCATCCCCCAAACAGTTGAATAACCATATCTAAGTATTGTCTACCCCAAAGCTTAAGTAATAGCTTGCTGTTGTTTGGAAGCCTTATTGATAACCCTTTGTTACATTTCTCTGCAGATGGTGCCTCGTATGGTCTGCAGATATGTTGGCCTAAGTTTCAATACATTTTAATATTTTATGATAGCTCTGTATGCATTTTATGATAGTAAATGGTAACACAGACTATTTTATACAAGATGTTTTATGAATCATGACATACCTTTTTAATTTTTCACTATTTCTTGGCACACTGGTTCATCTTCAAGTCTTTAAACGTTTGCAACTCTCAAAAAAAAGTCAAATACATTTGTTAGGAAAAGAACTCAGATAAATGAACCATGCTGTTCCAGCCTATGTCAAACCTATGGCGGTGAACTTATCCATTAATTGTACCCTTTAATGTTAAACTCAGCACAATTGAATAATCTTGATGATCACTTTGATATTTTTCTGTTATATATGCAGGCTAATTTTCTAAACTTTTCAAAAAAAAATTTGTAAAGATTTTTTTTTATTTATGCATACAGAACTGGGGTAAAAGCCAGAGGGAGAGAATTCACCAGAAACAGAATGGGGAGCAGAATAGGCAGATTGACGAAGTACACTGCTGAGGGGAGCAGCAGGCTAGACAGGGGAGATCTGTGCCATGTGGGTCTCCTCCAGGGCAGGATCGAACTTGCACTGAAGTGGGTGCTGCACACAAGCACTGCTGTATCCTCACCCATTGTGCCCACCAGGGAGTGCCTCCAGGCTAATGGTAGTGAGGTTCCCTTTGTAATGAGATTATTTGCTAAGAAATGTTTAACAAAGGGTCACACTTATGACATTTTTATTACAACACGCTGGAACTAAAGTCACCCGTCCTTTCATTAACAGATGTATTTATCATCTTCTGATTTTGTGTGTTGCTGTGAACATCTTTTTAATTCATCACAGAACTTTAATCACTAATTGAGACAGTTGTTTTATTTGATCAGCCCTTTTGAGAGGATAAGTAAGCAGGCTCTGCTTCCTATTTTGGCAGCAATTAAGTCTGATTTCATCAGAGAGTTCTTTTGCTCCAGAAGCATTCTTAACCTGGGAATGAAAGGATCAAGCCTAGAACTCTTCTTCCTCCCTTTTGGTATCCATGTACGCTACTGTGTCATCATCCTCAGCAACAAACAGGTGAGAACAGAGTTGTGGCTTCATCACGGGCTGTCACTTTAGTGACTTGCCCAACCTTGCTGTGTCCTATTTGCCTGGTAGGTCACCAGGCGCCGAGCGCTGAGAACACACGCTTCACATTTTCCATAGTGCCGAGCCCCAGACTTGATTTAGGTGGGTCCTCTCTTATGAGCTAGCAAGCCTCAGTCATGGAATTCGCCAGTGCTGGATTGTCCTCAGAGTCCCAATTGAGGGAGGATATGCTTCTAAGCTCCCTAAAGATATTGGCCAGAAGACATTTCCTAGGAACCCTGCGCATCCTCTTAGAAGCCACCAAAGAGAAGGCTGGGGGGAGAGAGAGACTTTGAGGGAAACATTTTATGGCACTACCCCTTCTAGAGAAACACTGCTGTTTGTTCACCTGAGGTGGGTTTGCTCACCCCAAGAAATAGCCCCAGGTGTAGCGGTTATGCACTATGTTGAGATAATGGTAATGGGAAAGAGGTATTGTATTTGCCTGGTGTCTGTCAGATCATCTGTACAAGAAATAATGGAGAATAGAATTTGTTTCTATTTAGGAGGTAAAAATGCTATGGTATGGTAATGCTTAATTTTATTGTTTCAGTTTCCTTTAAAGTAGTTCAGGATTTAACCAAATTTCTCTATTTAAATATTTATGAAAAATAATGACTGTAATGTGATCAAATTCTTCAGTTTTTTTTTCAAAGTATATAATTACCCTAGAACATGTTTGGTCTAATAATGGATTGCATAGTAAGGAGGCTTTTATTCTTTGGATCATCCTATTGGAATATTAATATTTGCTTCTATAACTTTTATCTAAATTAATCAGAGTAATTACACTTAACTTGGCATCTCAGTTTATTGAAATATGACTATTGGTTGCATATATTTTGTCCTTGTCAAAAAAAATAAGAAAAACATGAAATTATATTACCATCAATTGAGAAATAATTTCCTTAATCTAAAGGATTGCATTGAATTACAATTACTTATGTGGGAAACACATCTATTAATCTACACATTCAATTTTATTGCTAATTACATTGAAAAATGCAATTACACGCTTAAGTAGATAATCAAACTTCCAAGTCCACCTAGTTAACTTCTGTTTTTATTAAATGTGTGATAACTGCTTTGGCATTAAGAACCACCTGTTAAAAATTGTAAAGTAATTAGACTTCAGTTTGATAGCTTGCCATGTGCAAAACAAAAACATTTCTACTAACACTGCTATCAGAGAAATACCATTTATTTCATCTTGGCTACTCAATGTGAACTTTCAAATAAAAAAATATCAAATGACTAACAACAGTATGAAAGTAGAAAATCATTCTCCAAAACCTCCATCAGTGGTTATAGAATTTTTAACCTTTGGGAAAAGCTTACAGAAACCCTAAAACATTTCATGTTCTCAAATACCCGAAATCCAAAGAAATTCTGCTTTTTGTAAATGCAGGGAAAGACAGAAGCAGAATCCAGAACAGATTCATGACTCAGTCCCTGGAGAGTTGTAGCTTCTGGAAGGGAGGCCTGGCAGAATTCCCCACACAAAGCCTTACCTACAATGCCTAGCACACGGCAGTATCCCAGCATGACCCTGGTTTTCATGCTTGTTGTGCTGCCCACAAGAACATCTGCCCTGTGTAGTCCCGAGTTCCCAAATGAGAAACCACCAGCATTTCTGGAGTCATATGTGTGTGGGACTTGAGCACAGCTCCTTGCCCTGGGCCCTGGATTAAGAATAAGTTCCAGTTGCATCCACTTTCTGTGGCCCAACAAGTCTTGTTATACCAGCCCATGTGCCTTTTTGCTGAGTGTCCCTGCATTCCTTCTCCCCTCCTGTAGACTTCTCTTCCAGTTCATTGCTGTCCTTTTCCGTCTACAAGCTTGGTCAAAACAAGTTGAAACCCGAGTCTGGTTATTGCTTTTCTGAGGAAACCAGAGTGGAATTCAACATCTGAGGCTTATTCAAGTTGGTCCAGTTCCACACCAGACCCTTGCCCAGCAAAGAAGTTTCTTATACAGCATCGTTGGCTATAATCACTATATTGTGTGTTAGCTCTCCAGAGCTTAAGCTGTGCTAAGTAAAATAAAAAGTTGACATGACAAGGGAGCCAGCAGCCAGAAGTAAGGACTTTTGCAAGGCCTTCTCATTGATTTATCATCTACATTCGGTTTAAGATTGCGCAACACCAGTTACCCTGGCCATAAATACATTGTATGTCAATTTGCCTATTTCCCTATATTTGCATTGATAAATGGTACTCTTCTTCCAATGCTTTATAGTATGACTGGTGTCATTCTTACTCAGTCTCTGCTTTTCTGACTCTGTTAATATAGTTTCTGATATGTGTATTTTTAAATACTCTACAATCAATGTGCAACCTTTTCCGATCATAATATTTATGTACAGACCTTACTAATACTGACTTTTGCGTAATTTTCGTGAATGGGAAGGTAAGACGATTAGATGATGTTATCCTAAAATATGCAATTTTATATTTTGGCAAAGTGATTTCAGGTTTTTGAAAGTTAGTTTTTTATAGCTCTGAGACTGATTATATTTTAAAGGTAGTTTCTTTTATTTTCCATGATATTGACAGCAAGCCACATTTCATTTGCCCTTTGATTTTTTCACTTGATTCATTCCATCAGTATTATTATTATTATTATTATTATTATTATTATTATTATTATTTGTAATTGCAGTCCTACACACAGGCTGTACCCCTGAGTTCCTGAGTTGTCATCCAGAGTAACACAGGGAAGATGAAATTCCATCTATCCCATAAACACTCAAACATTTTATTAACCTGAGGATGCCTGTCAAAAGCATAGGGGCAGGTTATGTGAACTGTAAATTCTCTATCAATGTGATAAATGTTCACAAAATGTTCACAAAGTTACACATGGCTTGAACACCCTCTATCCTGCAAGACCTTCTCCCACCTCACCAATCTCCTTCCCCAGTTATTGTGAAATCACCATCCTACAATAAGTACTGCAGCCTTTAAAAAAAAAAAATGTGAAGGAAACCGGAGAAAGAGGAATGTGAACCCCGTGGGTAGCTCTTTATTCTTGGGGATCGCCTCTGGTTTCCTTTTGGATAATACTACCAGTTGGTTGGTGAAGGTCCTCCCTGTCTCAGGTACTAATATTTTAGCTTCAGAGCACACACCAGTTTTAATGATAAGTAGAATACAGGGGACAGTAATTCCTAATTTTCCAACCCCATGTTAATTGTATGAGGCTGTGATTTTTGTAAATCGAGAAATAATATAATGCATATTTAGGTGTATAAACTATTGGCTTTATGTATTTATATGTTGTATGGCTACTGCAGTAGCACAAGCTACTACCTTTATAACATTGTATTTCTTTTTGTTTAGAACAATTAAGTTCTCGTCTCTTAACAACTTTGAAGTTTTTAATAAAATAGCATTGTCTGTAATCAGTTGTACATTGCTGTCTAATAGCAGAGGAAGGCATGGTTGGTGGATAGAGGAGTTGGTTAAGAAGAATGAGTGGAAATTTTCCAGTAAAACAGATTTCAGGCAGAAGTATAGTAGAAAAACATCCTAAAAAGAACATGATGCAAATAGTTAAATATGGAATTTCATGGACACTTGAATTGCTGATTATGAGAATGATTTTTTGGCAATGACAGAAAATGGGTTGAATGGGTAAGAGAGAATAATAATGAATAAGTCAGTGAATTTTGAGCTTTTAAATTGAATAACTTGTCATTAGCATCATTATTGTTGTTGAAGTCAGGAGCTAATGGAAACTACTGAGCATTGACATGAGTTGCTTTCATCTTTGCTTTAGAGTATATCTCTGAAACATAATCAGAGAGTAGATTAAAACTTGGAGGCAGAAATTGCAGATTTCTCTGGAGAAAGATTTAAAGACTGACTGAAAGACCCTTGAAATCTATACATTACTCCATGCACCATCATACCATACAGCACTCTGCTTTTTGTTTACTAGCAGTAAAGAGAGAAGGGTGTGAGAAGCAGTGATGAAAGATGAAGTGGTGGTGTTTTATTTGGGAGGGAAGGGAGGAGAGGGGAAAGAACTGTAAAGGTGAATATTGAACTGTAAAGATGAATATTGATCATTTTTAATGACACTGCGTGATGTTCACAAGGAAGGGAGGTACATTTTCATTTACTTCAAATTAATGGCAATAATTGAAATAGGAACTTTTGAAAAATGTGATAAAGCAGATGAGAGATTGTTAACTTCGTTTCCACAATGACTTCTAGTTCTAGGCCTAGCTTCCTGTTATTTGGTGAACTATAACGTATCATGAATTTCTATTAAATAATAATTTTGTATTGTATGCCATTTAAATATATGCCACTGTCTCAAATTTGGAATCATCTTTGAGGGATGCAATTAAGAGTGTGTTAAAATTTTGATAAGAAAGTTGAACTTTTCAGTACAAGCATACAAATCTTTTTAGTGTTCCTCTCCATTACTGAGTATTTGAGCTCAATTACTCTATGAAAAAATAGTATTTTCAAAGAACAGTGATTATTCTTGCTGGTCAGTTTCACATTATAATTATGGGAAAGTCAAAGAGTCACCTACAGTGATTAATGATCTCTCTCTAGAGTGTGTGGAATTTAACATTTTAGAATTTTAACTTAGCTTTCATATGCCTAGTCATCAAACATTGTCTGAATACTTTAGCCGTCAGAATAACAAATTATTGTTGCATCAGTTCAAACAAATGCATTTAAAAACCCTGGAAAATCTAGACATACAAAAAGAGAATGAGTGGAATTTAAGATCTGTGAACATGGGGATTTTCTATATAGAAATGCTTTTTTTTAATTATTTTTAAGATTGAGATTGTTGTGTCTAGAGGGCAGTCAAGACATTTCCAAGATTTCCCAGCTAATTAGCAGCAGAGCTGGCGTTAAACTTTCCTGTCTATTCAGTATTTTTATCTCCCCTGCCCAGGTTATTAATAGGTGGTCATCTTGTAAAGTTCCATACAGCTGTACTATTTGTAGGCTGCATTTGACTAGATACATAGGAAAAATAAAGTATCTTCGATGAGGACTTCTTATAATTGACAGTGGACTTTGGTGTCTTTCTGGAAAAAAGAAATAGCATAAATACAAGTGAACCAGTTATATTCCCCTTGTCACATTCTCTAGACTTGGAAAGTAAGGAGCTTTCTGATGTAAGATAGTTCATTATGTAGCTTGAAGCAAAATTTGCCTTACCTTGTTTTCCTTGATCTTCTCAAGTCATGACCTACTCTGGAGCACTAAGTCAGACTTGCATTTTTACAGTATCCTCCGGTGACTTATTTGTACATAAAAGTTTGGGAAATCCTGCTTGCAAAAAAGGAATCCCTTTCAATTTAAATGGATCTGTTAAAGCTGGTATGGTTGGGTTCCTGATATGTGTTACCTCCTCCAGTCATCGTGTACTTACTATCATTCTTTCAATATGTAGATATTTGTTTAAAAGATTTTACTATGAAAAATAAAAACATAGTTATAGAAATAAGAGTGCAATAACCTCAACCTTTATTAACCTTCAGCAGTGCTTATGCTTCATGATTGTAATGAAGCAAATTCCATCATTACATAATTTTATCCATCAATAATTCAGTGTGTAAAATAAAATGAGCCACTTTTTGACATGACCATGATGTCATTACTACTAAAAAATTGTAATTATTTTTCTTAATAACCTCACACATGCAGACACTGTTCATGTTCCCTCTATTGTGTGATGCTTTTTTCTAGCATCTCATTTTAGGTTCTTTTATTTAAGTTGTAGAGTAAGAGAAATAATTTTCCCTCTGCTCTTCTACTCTTTCCTTCACTCTTCAGAGTTTCCAGCTGAGACCCCTATAATAAAAGGGAAAAACAAATGGTACCATCTTTTTTAAATTCATACAGAAATGGGGCACAGGCCAGAGGTGTAGGGGTGATAAGAGGATTCACCAGAAACAGAGTGGGGAGCAGAGCAGGCAGATCGACAAAGCACACTGCTGAGGAGAGCAGCGGGTGAGACAGGAGAGATCTGCTGCGCCATGTGGGTCACCTCTGGGGTGGAGATCGAATTCATACTGAAGGGGCTGTGGTTTGTCTTGGCTTCGCAATGCAGTGCTCCGACTAGCGATGCCATCAGGGATGGCCTCAGGTACCATCGTTATAGAGAAAGGGGAGTGGCATGTTGCCTCTCGGAAGTAAATGAGTCCAGGAAAGATGAATGACCCTTACAATTGGGGGTAGTTTGTGAAAACTTGGTCTAGGTGTTGTGTTGACTTGATTGACTCTTATCTTCTATGATAAGAGTCAATCTGAGATGAAAGTCTCAGGGAAGGGATTTGCGATAATTGAGTTCCTTTTAGAGCATCTATCTGTAAGAAAGTAGGGGTTTACAGAAAAAGATTCTCCTGGTGTTTGATGGTTTTCAGATTCAAAATAATCAATGTACCAAAGTGCCATATTTGGCACAGGCATACTCTGCTCTCCTTCAGAATCAAAGCATAAATAAGGTCCATTTGTTGTGTTTTTATTATATGTCTTTAAAGACTCTTCTCTCCCAACTGTTTTACCTCTGTACTCCTAAAACTGAGTTATTGGTTACCCCATTTATACAGAGACATAAATGAACTCAGGGATTGAGTAATCTAATGCTGGATTTAGGTGGATCAAGGTGGACCCGGTAAAGTTTTACTAGAAAATCATGCAGAAGCTTGTGGTGTAATCACACCACAAGAGCCAGGAGAAAAAATTCATTTAGTCCGGTCAGAGTGGCTGGGGAAGGAGAGCAGTGTCTCGCTTTGTTTGGGTTGGGGCTGTACACATACAGGTTTCTTGGTCTTTCCCTTCTTGGAAACTGTAAGGCAATTATTAATCAGGATTAATGCTTTCTGTCTAGCCTGGCACAGGCTTGTTCAGTCTGGTGAGCCCAAATGTGTGAACAAGATCAAAACCACAGAACTCTAGTGCTCACTTTAGTCCACCTGTTTAAACAAGATGCTGAGATCCAATTTAGTTGCTTAAATAAGATATTGGGGCAGTTTGTTTCTTAGTGGCTTGAAATGTTACCCAAACTGTCTCATTAGTAGCTACTCAGTGGCAGTGCCAGAACTCAAACCAGCCTGTGTACCTCTACTGATCTTTCCCTATGTTGTGTGACTGCCTCCTCCACTTTCATTTTGACTCTCTATATTTAATCTTTTGTACTTCTTGCCTAATTACTTATTCTAAAAGATTTTCAGTACCCCTTTCTTCACTCTGAACACCTACACCTTAAAATACACAGTTGCAAAATTGATGACATTACTGTCAAACAATAAATAATAGAATGAGGAAAAATATTAATGTTTGCTTGGTCCTTGTTTACTTTAAGCTAGAGGTCTAGCAAGGATATTTGTAGTGATAGCAATAAACTTATCAGTGCCATCTGGAAACTTCTTGCCCCAACTTCATCTTCTGGTTGCCTGCAAATCTTCCACTATAGTATGATAGAGGTGGATGTAAATGTTCACCCATTTCATGTCAGTGTTGCCGAAACATGCATAGTTCATTGCGTGTTTATAGTGTTAGGGGAAGTAGACCACTTCATGAGGACCAGAGCTGAGTGGCCAGGTAAATGTATATAACATGGGAAGTAGGTGGTCTCAGGGGGAGAGATGTGAAGAAAAAGTATGTACTTGCTTCTTGGCTTCAGACTAATAACCAGAGATTTGGGAGAGCTGGGAGCCGTGGAGGAGAGATACGCAAAGACATTTAGAGGAGACAGCCAAGGGAGCAGCTGACAATAGCAGCCGTTATCTTGACTTGTACAGTACTTTGATTTTGCTCCTTTGTACCACACTGACCTGTTCCCTCCAGCCCACGAGAAAGGGGACAGGTCAGTGTGGTACAAAGGAGCAAAATCAAAGTACTGTACAAGTCAGTCCCCACCAGAAGGTGCCTTCAATATGAGGGAAGCTTCTGGGCCTCATTGTCCCCACTTCAGAATTCAGTGTACCCCACTGGGTATTTACCTTCAAGGCGGCGGGTAACTCTGGGTATTTTACTGGGAACAATACACTTCCCTCTCTCTCTATGCACACTGTGCTATCAAAGTTCTTTCTTATTGTCCCTTGTCTTTATGGGCATGAATGCTTGGGCTTCTTTAGAGCATACAAGTTTGGGGATCCCAGGATACCTCTTGGTCACGCTCTCACAATATACAGGTTTTTCTATTAACAGTTTTATCAGAATTTTTTCCTGATATTTTATAATCTAACATTACTGTGTGATTTTGTTTTAGATTGGAGAATTAATATATATTCTGGAAGGAAGTGGAACTATCCCCTTACCTTCCAGCTTCCTGACAATGGATTCTTTGACTCCAATTGATTACCACAGTTCTCCGGAAGAAGGTAGAATACACATATGCTTTATTTCATTTATAATGATGAAGGATGGGACTGTGCCTCATATTGTCACCTAAGAATCTTCATAGCAAGTTTTCCAATATGTAATAAGACTTTTAAAGGCTCCTTTTCAACTTCATTATGTCAGCACCCATAGAATAGGATACCATGTTAGCAATTAAGAAAATGTCAATTTAAAAATACGTTTTTTCAGTCTTTGGATAAATACTGAAATTTGGCATTGTGCGAATATTTATTGAGCACAGCTTTCCAATTTTTTTTTTTTGCTATATATCTCCATGTCTATATATTGTTTTATAACTTGAACTTTCACCCTACATTTTAGTTTAAAGCATAAGCTTGTTAATGACAGAAAATGGCAGTTCTTTCCAGTTCTTGACAGATACTTCTATTCCCTCTACCATATGACAGGAACAAAGTGGTCATTGAATTTTTGAGTGTGTTTATATTTCTAGGAAACTGCCATTTGAGTAGAATTCATTTCAGAGAATATCAGTAGAGTTTTTTTTTTTTCCTGAAGACGTAGTCCTAAGTCACTGAATTAAGATGACAGTTCTTTATATGTTCTTTATTTTTTACTATGGTTAAACAAAGACTATAACTGCAGCTTTATATTTCCGTTCAATAGGTCACAGTGTCAAGGGCATAACTGATCATTGCTAGCACGAATGTTTTTACTTTTCCTAGGGTTAAATAAGGCCGATCCAGTTCTGTATTTGCAGTGTGAACTCCGTCAAGTCCTGGATGTGGAGCTTAGATTGCCACTGACTAATGAAGCCAAAGAAAAGGCTTTAGCTTTTGCAGCACAGCGACAGATGTCAAAGATAGAGTATGAGCGAAGGTTAATCACAGGCACCCTGGAGAGCAGTAGTGTCCGCGTGGCTATCGCCCTCCTGGGACTGACCAAGATTGAGGTGGGTGTGAGGGACAGGTCATGTACTTCTGCTGTTCTCTCTTTGGGAATATGCAGAGCTGGATCGGACTGGGGTGGGAAGAGTGCACTGGACTGTGGTGAGGGCACACGGGTGAATTGGTGGTGAGAAGCCCATGGGAATTAGAACTGAGATGAAAAAATGCACAAAATGAAGAATGATTTTAAAAAATAAAAAAATATAATTAAACACAGAGCTGTTTCTACTTAATTATCACAGCATTTTTACATTTAAAAAATGATGAAAGCTGGTTTTCCCCAGAAAGACAGTGGCTTTTTTCTTTGTTTAAATCTCATTAAATAATAAATCTGAAAGCATTCAACTAGGTAATTTTAGGCATTAGAGTGTAGCCATTTAATTCATAGTAGTCTTCAATCATGGCTGCACATTAGACTGCCCTGGAGAATTTAACAGAAGACACGTGCCCATGCTCCGCTCCAAAGCAATTAAATAAAAATCTCTGGGAGAGGGTAGGCAGGGAAATAGTCTAAAAGTTACCCAGGATTTTCTGTTGTCTATCAGAAAGAATCATCCTTTGGGTCAGATTACCAGGCTGAGAACCAAACTAACATGAGCTGGTTACTTCAAAATGATCAAATTTCAGTTTTGCTTTTATTTTTCATCTGAGAGTACTATTAGTTTATGGAAACTGACTGTGCTGATTATAACAAATACATAGCATGCTGCCTGGTGGACATTTAGTATTCTCAGTATGCATGGCATTGTTACTATTATTACTACTAATACTGTAGACATAATTATAGCTTGAATTCTGTTTTATAGTGGAGTTGAGGCTCCATGTAGTCAACACAAAGCTATCAAAGAAACACTTCTGACATGCTGGCTGCACACATTGCTCGTCTGTACATTCCTCTCCTGACTTCCCAGCTTCTGTCAGGACAAAAGCACCATCCACAGGATGGTTTTCATGACCCTTCTGGTGTCAGCACTGCTGTGGGCCCACTCACTCCCCTGTCTCCCTCAGCACAGGCACCCTCGCTCCTCTTCAAACACTTCAGAATCCTCCTTGGCCTGTGCTTCCCTTCCCTGACTTTCCCTGCACCTTAGAGGCTGCCTCCTCATGGTCTGGGCTCTGCTAGAACGCTGTCAGTAAGGTGTTCTTTTGTTCTTTTAAGTTACCTTCTACCAGCTGCTCTTCAAACCCTATATTACCTTCAGTTTCCTTAGCAGATAACATTGACTACCTGAAAGTAATATATTTATTCCTTTGCTTATTCTCTGTCTCTAACAAAGGAATTCATAGCACAGCACACATTAGGAAGATGGCTATTGTTATCACCTTGAGCTTTTGAAAACTGTGTTACTGCTTAGTGTGTGTATAGAGGGAAGTGGGTGGACAAAATCATTCATGCTGAGAATCTGCAGTGTTTATGTGGCAAACTTGAAGTCTGGTTGAGAAGAGATCTTGGAGGAACCTGACTAGAGCTTGGTAAAGAGTACGTCGTATGTGCTTATCAAATGACTTGAATTTATAAAAGCAGATGATATACAGTTAGGCACAAGAGGTAGTTTTAGATATGAATAGTTTGTTTACAATAATAGAAAAAGTAATTAATCTAAATTACTGCAATTACATGATTTTAATTGCCAAAGTAAAGTAAATGTGGCTTTGTGGGGGAATAAAATCCTTGCAGATTTTATAGATAATGAACTCAGTGAATGGAATTGCTAAAGGCACTAACGTTTATTTTCGGAGTAATGAGAACACGAGGAGGAGGACAGTGATGATGATGACAGCAGCAATGGTGATGACAGTGATAGACATTTATTAAATACATAAAACATGTTCCAAGGACCTGACATATCTTTGTACCTTAAATATTCATAACAAGGATAGGCAGTGTGTACTGTTTATTGCCCATATTTTACAAATGGAGATTTTGTAGCTTTGGTTAATAACTTGGCCATGCTTATTTAGAAGTGTGATGTAAATGCAGACAATGCTGGCTCTAAGAATGCCCTTTCTAGCCAGTGGGCCAGCTAGCAGTCAAACATCCAGGTCAGAAGAAATGATTAGTTTGTGCTCTGCATTGCTTGTTTTACTCTTAAAGTTGTGCTTATCTTCAGTGCCCCATTTTAGGAAAGATAATATTGTGCTACATTACATCTTGAGGAGATTAATGCATGCAAGTGAGTTTTTTGTAACTCACCTTGTAAGTAATGGCTGTGTACGTGTGTGTATATGTGTGTATACATATGTATGTATGCGTATAAACATTTGTATCAATACACACATATACTCACAAAATTATCTTTAGTAAGACCATATTAATAGAGATGATGGGTAATGTTAAGCATAGTCAACTCAAACTCACGATGGAGGCACTTTCTCACAAAGGATGACTCCATTGATTCTTGAAACTTACCAGTGTTGTCTTTTACTAATTAAATTGTAATGTTTTCAGATAAGTGAATCAGTTCAATCCCTGGTGGATTCCCCCCCCCCGCCATGTGGAGTTTAGATACATAATGTTATCTTCTGTGTTTTGAAGTTAGAAGGAAAGAGAAATAACATTCCAATTTTATTCTTTTATTTGCAGTCATGTATGCTCTTTAATATCTCAAAGTTGAAGAAGCCAAAGTCTGTTTTATATACAGTAGAACTGAGCCTTCCAGAACACTTTGATTTTCCCAAGAAGATATATATTCCTCAGTTTCCAGAAATTAAAAATAAATTGAACCAACCTCAAGGAATTACACCCAAAAATATAACAGGTAATCAGCAAAGTAGGGTTGCAATGTCTAGTACTATCCCAGGCTTTGTGAAATACTAAAATATAGAGAATGTATTTTCCCCACTACTAAGGTGTTCATAATAAAATTGAAAGATAGTTCAGCTATATGGATACTGAATCACCTTTTAGAGCATGGTTATCAGATAAGGACATTAGGTACACTGTTGGAGAACAGTGAGTTCTTGCCTTAGCAGTAACTGGGTTATTGAAATTCTGCTGGAGTTAAGTCTTAGGTTTGCTCTAAAGGAGAGAAGTTAAAGGCGAGAGCCTTTAACTTTAAAAAGAACAGTGCCATATTTGAGTAATTTATCTTTGATGTGGATTAGGTCATTTATTGTTAGCGTATTTACTTCTGGCCGTCTAGTGCTCTTTTATTCTGTTTCTGATGAGAAAGGACTGAACCATTTTAATTAAATATCAATACACCTACATTTTAAAGTATGACATAAAATGTAAACAACGTGAAAAAGTAATTTAAAATTATCCACAATTAAGTTATGTTTTTCTTCCACTTCTTTCCAAGCTAGTGGATACTGATAATAATGTAATTTCTTTATTATAGTTGTTCCTACAATTTATCCTAACTCCAGTGTCATGTATTCTGAGTTATGTAGTTGCTGACTTTGTTGGCTTTGTTCCATTTTCATTTGTGTTCTTTTTATGAATTTGTGTTATCTATAATGCATTTCTGAATCTTAACTTTTGGTTACAAATGACAAATAACAGGCTATAATCTCTGTTCACTTTCCCTTCCTAGAAGAACTGAGATCCTAGATTAAAATGCTCCATGCCAAGCAGGTAACAAAGATTTATGATTTAGGTTTGGTCTAGGCAGTAGAGATGATTGAGCCTATGACAAACTGGAGAATGCGTGCTCTGTCTAATCATTCAAGTTCAAAAAAAAAAAAAATGAATAGCATATGCCAGCCAAATAGCTGTGAGGGAATTTTTCACTCATCAGGTATTAGAGTCCCCTCATGTTAAGTCACTGACTTTTATTTTAATATTTATTACCTTCAGCTTTTCAATGTATTATTAAATTCATAAATGCATAGCTTATTTTAATCATTTTTAATCCCTCTCATGGTAACTGGTAAAACTGTATTATACCAGTTAGGGCTGGTAGTCGGAGTGATTCATCGTTCAGCGCTTCATTCCTCTGCACTACTGAGCAGCATTTCCTTTGGGCAAAATGATTAAAATTGACATAGTCATCCCTTTTAGTAATTTTATTTCTTAATTGCTGTGGCTTGAATGTCCAAAACTATTTTCAATAAACCTGATAAGAGAGGACATACTTGTCTTCTACGTGACCTTAGAGGAAAAGCTCAGTTTTTCACCACTGACTGACTACAATATGCCCTTTATTATGTTGAGATGTGTTCCTTTTATCTGTTTTATTGCAAATTTTTATCATTTGATTGGATCTTTTTTTTTTATCATTTGTTGGCTCTTGTCACATGCTTTCTCTAGATCTACTGATAGAGTCATAGGATGTTTATCTTCCCTTTTGCTGATGTGGTGAATTGGGTTGATTGATTTGCATATGTTAAAAGATTATTTCATCCTTAGGATAAATCCCATTTGGCTGTGGTGGGTGATCCTTTTAATGTATTGTTGAATTCAGTTTGCTAAGTTTTTGTTGAGGACTATTTCATCTATATTCATCAGTGATGTTGGATTATAGGTTTTTTTATTGTGATGTCCTATTGACCTGCTTCTGGTAGAGGATAATGTCAGCCTCACAAAATGTATTTGAAAGCATTCCCTCCTTTTCAGTTTTTCCGAAGAGTTTAGTAAATCTTCTTTAAAGGGCTGATAGAAGGGCCACTCAGGTGGGATGGGAGTTAGTTAAGTCTCAGTGCTATCATCATGAAAGCCTAAGTTAGATCCCTGGCCAGGGGAGCTGACCCACATGGTATGGCAGACTTCTCCTGTCTTACCCACTGCTCCCCTCAGCAGTGTATTTCAGTCCATCTTCCTGTTTGCTCACCCCACACCCCTGGCCTAAAAAAAAAAGTTGGGCAAAAATTTCTAGTGAAATTATCTGGACTTGGGCTTTTTTTTTTGGAACCTTTTGATTACGTTTCAAATTCCTTGGGTTTTTAAAGGGAGGAGTCTGAGCTCTCTCTTTTTTTTATGTATTTATAGCTATAAATATCTCTTAAGCACTGCTTTGGTTGAATCCCATCCATTTTTGTATGTTTTCATCTTTATTTTTACTAATCTTAAAGTATGCTCTAGTTTCCCCAGGTTTGCACTGATTTTTAGGAGCTTATTGCTTATTTATGTATACAAGCCGGAGGTGCAGGGACTAGGTGGGAGAGTGAGAGGTTTCACCAGAGACAGAACAAGGAGCAGAACAGGTGGATTGCCTGAAACACACTGCTGAGGAGAGCAGCGAGCATGACGGGAGAGGTCTGCTGTGCCCTGTGACACAGCATCCTGGCAGGGATGGGACTCCTGCTGCAGTGGCTGCTGAAAGCTTCATACTGCTGAAACTTAACCCCTTGTGCTACAGGGAGGCCCTTTAAGAATTTATTTACAACAATAATAGATGTTTTGATTGGCAGGTAGTAATAGTAATAAACATCAGTCATGTAAATTAGAAAAATGTGAAGTTTCTCTATTTGAAAGCATAGACGATGCTACAGAACCTGTCTGTAGCACCTCCCCACCTCTTACTGCCTCCCCAACAGTGGTTCACAAGTAAAGCTGGAGTTCTGATGGATACAGTTTGAAAGGCTCTACTTTAGTTCTATCAATATCTTCATGTTATATTGCTAAAGAAGTTGAAGCACAGCGAGGTTAAATAATTCTTTAGAATCAAGTAAAAGTGGAGTAATTCATTCTGGAAGATATACCCTAAGCATCTTTTTGAGTTAAGATGCTAGGTGATAGGATGGTTTCTTCAGCAAATATTCATTGAACACTTGCTTTGTACAGGCAGTGTTTAAGATACCAGAGGTAGAACAGTGATCGCAATACAGACGATCCTTTTTTTTTTTTTTTAATATGATGTGGAAAGTTGTCACTCATCTTTTCCATTCTGGGGCATATACTTTAAATGATATTTTCAGTATTGGTCTCTACTCTTTTGCAGCTCATTCTTTTATTCTGTGTCAGGGCATTTCATTTTTGGACAGCTCACCAGTTAAAGGTTAGACATGATAAAAGTCTATGTATAACTTTTAGCTTTTCATCATTTGTAGCTATGCATATTTTTAAATCAGTTGTTTGTATCCAACTAATACTTGATTTTAAGTGAAAACATGGTCTTCCTTTTTTGATGATTTTTTTTCTTCTAATATTGCTAGGTTTTGATATAATTGATACTTTATATATTTCTGGAATAAACAAAGTTGCAATTTTAGTTTATGATGCCATTTTATAGTTTCATGACTGTGAGTTCCAAAAGGATTTTAAGGTGTATTAAATTTAAAGCACAGAACTTGTGAGGCATTTAGAAATCAGGAAAGTAATTAGGTATGTTAATCATACTTACATAGTTTAGGAAATGTTCTGAGTTTGCTTGTCACTGCTGTATCATTTTATTGTTTAGTAAGCAGAGTATAAAACATCTTTACATTTTTTAAAAAAGATTTATTTATTTATGCATACAGAACTGGAGTACAGGCCAGAGATGCAGAGGGTGAGAGGATTCACCAGAGACAGAGTGGGGAGCAGAACAGGCAGATCGACGAAGTACACTGCTGAGGGGAGCAGCGGGCGGGTCAGGAGAGGTCTGCCACGCCATGTGGTCACCTCCGGGGCAGGCGGGAATCAAACTCATGTGGAGGTGGCTTAAGCTTCTTAGTGCTGTGCTTTAACCCGCTGCACCACCAGGGAGGGCCTGTCTTTATATTTTTAAAACAAAAGTTGGCATAGAAGTAGTGACTGAAATGCAGTTTTTGTTCTGAAGTTTGCAGGCACTATTAAACTCTTTTGAATGTTAGTGAATGCAAACTAGGAACACATCCATTCCTCTATAGCATCTGGGAACAGGAAAAACACAAGGAAAGTATTGCAAGTCAGCTAATTTTCAACACTCTGCTCCTTTCATTTACCTTTCCCACATTTGGTTAGTGACTTTATTTTATCACTAAGCATATAATCTTTGTGATTTTTTTAAGTGTTCAGTAATTGTTAGCTATTGTTTATTACTAATTTTTGCTTATTTTAGTCTAGAACATTTTGTATAAGAACATGAAGTTGGCAGAACGTTTGGCACAAAGAGGATTCTCAGGAAATGACATTGAATTAAATGATATATTTGTTTTTTCCTATGAAATTACTTAATTATTTCTAAAAATATTAGATTTTCTATATTATAAGAAATCTTTGCAGTCTTTACTGGGTACTGCTAGAAACATTTCCTTTTTTAAAAAAAATAATATAATAGTTTATTTTTACATCATTTTGTACATGTTTTCATCTCAGTTGTAATCCCCATGGGTTTCCCATCACCAAATCACCCATGTGTGATTTTTTTTTAATGCTTCAAGCATTTTGATCTTTGTATTTAGTGTTTTAATAAAGAACTGGGGGAGATATCATAATGATAGTTCCTGTAGAAGGAAATAATAAACCTGCCTTTACTCAAAGGTACCTTCAAAGGTACCTTCTCACCACCTCTGGAATTCTGGAATGCTGCTCCAGATTACCTAACCACTGATTTCATGTAGAAGCAGAACTGGTTGTCACTAGGAAAAGTCTGACAATAGAGTAGGAGCAATATTAAATTCAGGGGTTGCTAAGTAAGCAAGCACTTAGAAGATACACCTGTGAACACTTTTTCTGTAAATTTCAAGGCTTGACCATGGAGATTTATATATATATTTTTAAAGATTTATTTATTTGTGCATACAGAACTGGGGTACAGGCCAGAGGCTCAGGGGCGGCGAGAGGCTTCACCAGAGACAGAGTGGGGAGCAGAACAGGCAGATAGACGAAGTACACTGCTGAGGGGAGCAGCGGGCG